ATAAAAGCAGTTGGCTTACATAACTGATTCTGGTTTAGTGTAGTTGAAACTAAATTCCACATGGTTTTCCAACTCCCATTATTTCTTGGAGGATCCAATTAATATATGAGATAATATTTTGTGATTTAAAGACCAACAGTTATTCTGAAAAAGATCATTAATGGAAGCGCTTCAGTATGGTCCACAACCTTAACAGTCCAAAGAACTTCATTCATTGATATCCCATCTTGTCAGGGAACCTAGTGATTTATAGAGCTGCATTGAACCCACTGAGTAGGGGCCAGATGGGATGTACCAAGTTAATAGTTGCCCCAAGCTATAGGGTGTCTATTGTGTGGGTAGAGTGGTCAAGACTCACCTTCTTGAAGGTCAACTAGAGGTGAAGGTCAAAAGCCTAGTCAAGTTTCATCCTGGATAAATATGTTATGCAGCAATGGCATGGGAAATGGAAATTGCCTGTTAGAAGTGACATGTTATGTCGCTTGTACGTTGACAATGTAATTGTGATTTATGACTTATTGCTCCTATTCCTGCTGGATATCATAATATTGAACATTATTCCATAGTAGGTAAGCAGGTGATATATCTGTGACGAGAAACTGTCTGGTGAAAGTCTAATCACCATGTCGTTACATATAATACAGGGGGTTACCAGGCAATATCTGCCTCATGTGGTGAGGGTTCTGGGATATGCTTGCTGACAGTTGGATCAAGTTAGGAGAGAACAATCCATGTCCAGGGGCTCTGCTTAAGGGTAAGCTAATTGAATGCAGGAATTTTTTATGTTATTTTATTTTGTTTGGACAATTTTGGATAGATGCATTGGATATGTTGTTTTTGTGGGGATGTTTTAAATACAGTGAAAGTAGTCAACACTGTCAAGGATGGTTGATCTGCAGCAGTGTGTGTTCTTAGTCATGAATGTTATCAAAATACACAAACAATAAGTGATCTCTGTTTATACCTATTCAATGTGCAAAAAATAAGAAATATGTTCAATACCACTTGATATACCTATTCACCAAGAATGCTACATACTGTATGTGTGTGTGTGTGTGTGTGTGTGTGTGTGTGTGTGTGTGTGTGTGTGTGTGTGTGTGTGTGTGTGTGTGTGTGTGTGTGTGTGCTTGTCTTGTCTTGTGTGTCTTGTCTTGTCTTGTCTTGTCTTGTTCTGTCTTGTCTTGTCTTGTCTTGTCTTGTCTTGTCTTGTCTTGTCTTGTCTTGTCTTGTCTTGTCTTGTCTTGTCTTGTCTTGTCTTGTCTTGTCTTGTCTTGTCTTGTCCTGTCCTGTCCTGTCCTGTCCTGTCCTGTCCTGTCCTGTCCTGTCCTGTCCTGTCCTGTCCTGTCCTGTCTTGTCTTGTCTTGTCTTGTCTTGTCTTGTGTGTCTTGTCTTGTGTGTCTTGTCTTGTCTTGTGTGTCTTGTCTTGTGTGTGCTTGTCTTGTCTTGTGTGTCTTGTCCTGTCCTGTCTTGTCTTGTCTTGTCTTGTCTTGTCTTGTCTTGTCTTGTCTTGTCTTGTCTTGTCTTGTCTTGTCTTGTCTTGTCTTGTCTTGTCTTGTCTTGTCTTGTCTTGTCTTGCCTTGTCTTGTCTTGTGTGTCTTGTCTTGTGTGTGCTTGTCTTGTCTTGTGTGTCTTGTCCTGTCCTGTCTTGTCTTGTCTTGTCTTGTCTTGTCTTGTCTTGTGTGTCTTGTCTTGTCTTGTCTTGTCTTGTCTTGTGTGTCTTGTGTGTCTTGTGTGTCTTGTCTTGTCTTGTCTTGTCTTGTCTTGTCTTGTGTGTCTTGTCTTGTCTTGTCTTGTCTTGTCTTGTCTTGTCTTGTCTTGTCTTGTGTGTCTTGTGTGTCTTGTCTTGTCTTGTCTTGTCTTGTCTTGTCTTGTGTGTCTTGTGTGTCTTGTGTGTCTTGTCTTGTCTTGTCTTGTCTTGTCTTGTCTTGTCTTGTGTGTCTTGTGTGTCTTGTCTTGTCTTGTCTTGTGTGTCTTGTGTGTCTTGTCTTGTCTTGTCTTGTCTTGTCTTGTCTTGTCTTGTCTTGTCTTGTCTTGTGTGTCTTGTGTGTCTTGTCTTGTCTTGTCTTGTGTGTCTTGTGTGTCTTGTCTTGTCTTGTCTTGTGTGTCTTGTGTGTCTTGTCTTGTCTTGTCTTGTGTGTCTTGTGTGTCTTGTCTTGTCTTGTCTTGTCTTGTCTTGTGTGTCTTGTGTGTCTTGTCTTGTCTTGTCTTGTGTGTCTTGTGTGTCTTGTCTTGTCTTGTCTTGTGTGTCTTGTCTTGTCTTGTCTTGTCTTGTCTTGTGTGTCTTGTGTGTCTTGTCTTGTCTTGTCTTGTCTTGTCTTGTCTTGTCCTGTCCTGTCCTGTCCTGTCCTGTCCTGTCCTGTCCTGTCCTGTCCTGTCCTGTCCTGTCCTGTCCTGTCCTGTCCTGTCCTGTCCTGTCTTGTCTTGTCTTGTGTGTCTTGTCTTGTCTTGTCTTGTCTTGTCTTGTGTGTCTTGTCTTGTGTGTCTTGTCTTGTCTTGTCTTGTCTTGTCTTGTCTTCATTGGTTGATCTGGACAATTCCACTATGAACATTACCTTCAGGGTTACCAGGCTTGCACGTTTGTCCAATTTACACATTATGTGGTGCAACTAAACTTAGGCCTATTGTTGTTTCCTTGTTGGATGACAAAGTATAAGGCCCAGATTCAATGTGGTTGAAACAAATATCAAAACAATTTCAGCTTCAGAAGTACCTTACAATTAATGAATGAAACACTGACAATTTAAAATTTTGGTTGACATTGAGTTTAGTGTTGATAGTCTCTGGTAAAGCTCTTATTAAAGCAGATTCTTCTGGAACACTTTTGTGTTTGATTGCCTTACATGCATGGAGATCCAGGAGCCGTCAGTTTGTCAGCCTCTAAACAGCTATACATTATATCGCTCACACCTAATTGTGAAACAAAAACATGCAAACACCCACCACAAATGCTTAGTCTCTGTAAATATGTCATTTTCATCGAAACAAGCAACTACATCTAAATTGAAAAGGAGCCCCAGTGAGATGAGAATTACCTGCAAAATCTAGACTTACTTCAGTTAGGGCTATAGCATTACAGTGAAGGCTGGGCACAAGGGAACATAACATGGTTCAGGGACTGTGAAAAAGACAACATATATTTTTAAAAGTCATTTGTTTTCATTGTCGGAACATTTAACGGACTGATGAAAAATATAAAAATCTAGATGTTAAGTTTGTGATTCACAATACTGTGCACTATGTCTGTTGGGGATGACATTGAAGTTTTGACATATTGTAATGTATCATTTTTTAGGTGTATACTTGTATAGTTATCAAACAGTGAAAGACTTTGGTACCTGCAGATAACGTAAGTTTATCAACTAATATTGTCATTAGGGCTTATTCTGACCTAGGGAATGTTGATAAGACTCCTTATTATTGACATTTTATCTGTTTTATCTACTACGTTAGACAGGTTCTACATGACTTGGAAACACTCAGAGCTCCTAGCTACTCAGGCATTGGTGTGTTGGACATGAGTGTATCTGACAACATCCAGCAGAACTGTAAAGTGACAAGTAGCCATTAGACTCACAAAGTGCATGTTCACATTTTTATAGGGACTATTTTCTTATGGATGGTTTTCTCATAATGATCTATTTACGTGTCTGTTAAATGGAATGATACACTGGTGGGAGTTAGGTACTCATGCACTGCAATCTGAATGGTGCAAGCCACGGCAGCCATATTGAAAATTTCTTTACTCTGCCATTTTGTTCAAAATTGTATTGAAAAGTGGTGGGTTTAGTGGGACTCAACATACATGTTCCTTATTTCCATTTTTCCATTTGTCACAGTACATTAAATTTTGAACTTTGTGTTTCGACCATGCTCTTAAATTCTCTCAAAATGCATATATGACACTTGAAACATTTCCTCTGAACACTGCTGAATGTACATTAATTCTTGTTTAAATCATTAGGATATGATTGTTAATACAAAAAATATTTGAACATCAATGTAAACAACATATATGTTCCATATTTCCCATTTGTCACAGTACATTAAATTTTGAACTTTGTAAAAGTCATGTGACATACTACAAGCTAACCTAACCTCCTCAATCGAACAGCTGTTTTTAAAAAATCTATTTTGAATTTGAAACAGCCACTTTGTTAAGAGTCAGTGTCTGTTGACATTTATGATTGTTGGCTACATATCCAGGTGACCTACAGTGCCGTGGCACTATCATTTATATTTTATGGTTTGTTGATATTTGTTAATGAACTTGGGTCGTCCGAAATAAAAACAAATATATTTGTGCTGCTCAATATTTGTTAGATTCTATTTAACAAATAACTTCGATCAGTCAGTTTAAGGGGGCAAAAAAGAGCAGCTTTCTTAGTTTGAATGGTATCAGGTATATGTGTTTGTGAGATGGCTTTGTTTTCATTATGAGAAGATATTGTATTACAAAAATTAATAGTTATTTGAACTTTTTTAATACTGATTTTTGTAGTTGTATTTAGTTATTTTCTATGTTATCAAAGATGAAGCAGTCTGGCAAACAAAAATTGAATTAAACTATTTGTATTTTCTGATTTGGCTTTAAGTCCATTTGGTAAAATCGAAACTGAAAATTAAAAAAGAATTGTTGCCTCATCTTGAGGGCATCACCTGTATGACTAATGTTTGTTTATGAGATCCTGCTGAATATATACATAGAAAAGGCTGATGTATGAAATATGTTTATATGGTAGATAGGGTATTTGTTAGTTGAATGATTATTTTTGCCCAGATCTCTTTTTTTAAAGATTTCAAGATCAATGTTTACCAGTAATAATCAATAACATCTAAATAAATGTAATTGAAATTAATAAGATCAGAATATCAGATAACATTATAAAATGATTTTGGTCAAATCTTGTATTTAAGATTAAGTGTAGGCCTAATGACATTTATTCATTTTTTTTATCAATATAATGCTGACACAAATTTTATATGTTTGGTTCTCTTTGCAGGGAGTGATCGTAGACATGTCAAGGTTGCTTCCTGCCCTGATTGTGACCTTTACCTTGGTCTTCTTGACCTTGGTAAGGTCACAGACGTGCCCAACAAATTGCAAGTGTGACCAGACAGTAGATGGGTGGAGGGCTGTTTGCCGCGGTGGAATGCTGCGGACCATTATGAGAAGTCTAAGTGCAGACTTTGTTTCCCTCTCTGTGTCATCCAGTAACATCCGCACACTGCAAGCATCTGACCTTCAAACCGATGTGGAGATTCCACTGACCAATTTTTCCATCACCAACTGCAGGTTGCAAAACATCCAAGATGGTAGTTTTCAGAACCTCACAGATCTGGTGACATTGGATATTAGTTCTAATTACATTGCCACAATCAGGGAAGGTGCTTTCAATGGTCTCACCAACCTTCAAGTTCTCAACCTCTCACAGAACAACATTGCAAATGTAGCAAGTGCTCTACAGTCATTACACAACTTACATACACTAGACTTGAGCTACAATGCTATAAGTGACCTTCACACTGGTGCCTTCCGTTCCCAGGAGCAACTTGTCTACCTGAGACTTGACGGCAACAGGCTTCAGAACCTTCATGGCTACGTGTTTCAAGGACTTCAGAACCTTCAGCATCTGAGCCTGCGTCACTGTTTGTTGATCTCCATCGCTAGTGATATGTTCAGCATCGTGAGGAGCATACGCATCCTGAATCTTGGTCAAAACCAGATCAAGGAACTCCCTGCATCGGAGGAGTTCCGCAACCTGCCCTCCCTGCAGCATCTGTACCTGGACAGCAACCAGATCACCACCCTCACCGACTCCCAGTTCTCAGGAATAACACTGGACACCCTGCAGCTGTCTCGCAACCAGATCACCAAGATCACCTTGGAGACATTTAAATACTTCAATGCGCGTGTCATAGACCTCTCCTATAACATGCTTGTTGAGATTCAGAACAACTTCTTACGACCAACTGCTCCACAGTTGGAAGTGTTAAATATGGCGGGAAATCCCCTCCGAACTGTTCCCAAATTTTCCTTTCATGGATTGTACAGGCTGAAGACTCTTAATCTGTCAAACTGTCAGTTGGAGAGGATTGAGAAGAATCAGTTTGACAATTTACAAAATCTTAAAGAGCTAGACATATCCCTGAATAAACTGCAGAATGTGCCACGAGCTGTGTTTGCTTCATTTAAAAAGGATGTGTTATTACATTTGCATAAAAACTCTTGGCATTGTGATTGTTATGTGAAGCCGTTGAAACTGTGGCTTGAGGGTCACGGCTCTGACCTCAGGACTTGCCATCGAGACACACTGTACCAGGACCAGTGTATGATGGAGAAGTGCCACTCACCATCCTCACTAGAAAATATTCAAATAAAAATGTTAGAAGATGCTGATCTTAATGTGTGCAGCACGGATTCTCCATCAGATCCGCTGCCCACAAATACTCAACTGGCAATTGTCCTGCCGTGTATAATAATTGCAATATTTTTTATAATCTTGGCTTTAGTTTTATGGCAAAGAGGAAAAACAAGAGATGAGCTGAGGCGACAGTGTGTCAAGTCGCCATCCGAGCCAGTCAGTAGCCATCTTGATTTTCTGGAACAAAAAGAACATCCATTCGACAGAGTTTCATTAAATGAATCGGATCATAATTTTGTGTTTAGGAAGTACTTTCAGACTATGCCTTCCAATCCAGACATTTTCATTGAATCCACATCATTAAGTCACAACCCTTCAGTAGGTGGTGCTGATAGTGTTTATTCATCGATGCCATCAATCAGTAGTGGCTCTAGTAATAACATCGGCATGGAATCAACTGTCTAGCGGAAGGAATAATAGGTTATTAAGATGTTCTGGTTCCAGTTACATAGATGGAATTATATCTTTTTTTAATTGTTTGGTTTACATTTCTTCCAACCTCAAGTTTCACAAGTGAGAAAAAAACCTCAGATGTTTGGATTTTTATTATTTTTATAAATTCAATGTAAATCAGTATGTAGGTTAAAAGTATTTGAGTATGGGAAGGGAAGCTGCCTGCTTACTTGGCATGAAACAGAGAAAGTCTGGTAATTAGAACCAAAACATTTTCATTTCATAAGTATTGTAACCATGGTAACCTAGATAAATAGACACTGTATCATGCATGCTTGACTCATGCCACTGGCCATTGTGTGTATATCCCTACCATGTGTATGTCATGTGACTCATTGGACTGAAAACACAAACTCGACATCAACCTGTCATTATAGCCAAGAAGATATTTTATGCACCTCCATTTTAACTCTTGTTTTATATGGAAATTTGTAACTTGCAAAGGATGACTGCCCTCATCCTGTTGTTCCCAGCAGTGCCATCTGTAGATTATGTGCACGGCCATCATATTGTAGGAGGGGAGCTCCCATGTTACTTGTATGCTCATATTGTTATATTGTTTTGCCCATGTTGTTATCATTTTAGAGATTGGTCCATGCATGTTTGTCTCAGATCAGTTAGTGAGTTTGCATCCTGGTGATGGTAGAGCAGTATGGTTCTGTAACACTTTACTGACATGGCTGGCTGGAGAAGTAGTTCAATACATGTCTCTCAGTGCAGGTTTATTTGTGTGGGTGCAACCCAAATATTGTCTGTTGGAGGAGACATATTTCAAAACATGTTGGTGGGTGTATGTCTGTGAATGTACGCCTAGTCTATATGTGGATGTATGTGGGTGGATGTTCGGGTAAGTTCTGCACACCGAGGGCTGATTTGGACATAAACTGCTGTGCTTCCATGGACAAGTGAAACTCACCATTTAAAGCATGTGAATAGTTATGTCCACCTGTAGTGTGTGCTCTCAGCCACACAGGTATGTCCACCTGTAGTGTGTGCCCTCAGCCACATAGGTATGTCCACCTGTAGTGTGTCCTCAGCAACATAGGTATGTCCACCTGTAGTGTGTGCCCTCAGCCACACAGGTATGTCCACCTGTAGTGTGTGCCTCAGTCACACAGGTATGTCCACCTGTAGTGTGTGCCTCAGTCACACAGGTATGTCCACCTGTAGTGTGTGCCCTCAGCCATACAGGTATGTCCACCTGTAGTGTGTGCCTCAGTCACACAGGTATGTCCACCTGTAGTGTGTGCCCTCAGTCACACAGGTATGTCCACCTGTAGTGTGTGCCTCAGTCACACAGGTATGTCCACCTGTAGTGTGTGCCCTCAGCCATACAGGTATGTCCACCTGTAGTGTGTGCCCTCAGTCACACAGGTATGTCCACCTGCAGTGTGTGCCTCAGTCACACAGGTATGTCCACCTATAGTGTGTGCCTCAGTCACACAGGTATGTCCACCTGTAGTGTGTGCCTCAGCCACACAGGTATGTCCACCTGTAGCGTGTGCCCTCAGTCACACAGGTATGTCCACCTGTAGTGTGTGCCTCAGTCACACAGGTATGTCCACCTGTAGTGTGTGCCCTCAGCCACACAGGTATGTCCACCTTCAGTGTGTGCCCTCAGCCACACAGGTATGTCAACCTGTAGTGTGTGCCTCAGTCACACAGGTATGTCCACCTGTAGTGTGTGCCCTCAGTCACACAGGTATGTCCACCTGTAGTGTGTGCCTCAGTCACACAGGTATGTCCACCTGTAGTGTGTGCCCTCAGTCACACAGGTATGTCCACCTGTAGTGTGTGCCTCAGTCACACAGGTATGTCCACCTGTAGTGTGTGCCCTCAGTCACACAGGTATGTCCACCTGTAGTGTGTGCCTCAGTCACACAGGTATGTCCACCTGTAGTGTGTGCCCTCAGTCACACAGGTATGTCCACCTGTAGTGTGTGCCTCAGTCACACAGGCATGTCCACCTGCGGTGTGTGTCCTCAGCCATACAGGTATGTCCACCTGTAGTGTGTGCCCTCAGCCACACAGGTATGTCCACCTTCAGTCTGTGCCCTCAGCCACACAGGTATGTCCACCTGTAGTGTGTGCCCTCAGTCACACAGGTATGTCCACCTGTAGTGTGTGCCCTCAGCCACACAGGTATGTCCACCTGTAGTGTGTGCCCTCAGTCACACAGGTATGTCCACCTGTAGTGTGTGCCTCAGTCACACAGGTATGTCCACCTGTAGTGTGTGCCCTCAGCCACACAGGTATGTCCACCTTCAGTGTGTGCCCTCAGCCACACAGGTATGTCCACCTGTAGTGTGTGCCTCAGCCACACAGGTATGTCCACCTGTAGTGTGTGCCCTCAGTCACACAGGTATGTCCACCTGTAGTGTGTGCCTCAGTCACACAGGCATGTCCACCTGCGGTGTGTGTCCTCAGCCATACAGGTATGTCCACCTGTAGTGTGTGCCCTCAGCCACACAGGTATGTCCACCTATAGTGTGTGTCCTCAGCCACACAGGTATGTCCACCTGTAGTGTGTGCCTCAGTCACACAGGCATGTCCACCTGTAGTGTGTGTCCTCAGCCATACAGGTATGTCCACCTGTAGTGTGTGCCCTCAGCCACACAGGTATGTCCACCTATAGTGTGTGTCCTCAGCCACACAGGTATGTCCACCTGTAGTGTGTGCCCTCAGTCACACAGGTATGTCCACCTATAGTGTGTGCCTCAGTCACACAGGTATGTCCACCTATAGTGTGTGCCCTCAGCCACACAGGTATGTCCACCTGTAGTCTGTGCCTCAGTCACACAGGCATGTCCACCTGTAGTGTGTGTCCTCAGCCATACAGGTATGTCCACCTGTAGTGTGTGCCCTCAGCCACACAGGTATGTCCACCTATAGTGTGTGTCCTCAGCCACACAGGTATGTCCACCTGTAGTGTGTGCCTCAGTCACACAGGCATGTCCACCTGTAGTGTGTGTCCTCAGCCATACAGGTATGTCCACCTGTAGTCTGTGCCTCAGTCACACAGGCATGTCCACCTGCGGTGTGTGTCCTCAGCCATACAGGTATGTCCACCTGTAGTGTGTGCCCTCAGCCACACAGGTATGTCCACCTATAGTGTGTGTCCTCAGTCACACAGGTATGTCCACCTATAGTGTGTGCCTCAGTCACACAGGCATGTCCACCTATAGTGTGTGCCTCAGTCACACAGGTATGTCCACCTATAGTCTGTGCCCTCAGCCATACAGGTATGTCCACCTGTAGTCTGTGCCATCAGTCACACAGGTATGTCCACCTGTAGTCTGTGCCCTCATGCCTGTATGCCTAATGTTGGGGTTTCTTGTGTGTATGCTAAAAGTGATGAATTCATGTATGCTCGTTCATGTATGACTTGTCTGTACCAAGTTTCTGTGGATAAAAGATACTCAATTGTTGTTGATATAGATGCATTTCTGTTAAAGATTACTCGGAGTTCAATGCGACTGAGTCAGCTATCATATGGTGATGTACTGTACTCTAGTGTGTCGGACATATATGATCTGCATTGGGTGTGGGAATTGCGGACTGTTTACCATTTCAGTGATAGTCACTGATATTCACTACAATTAAATCTGTCTTGGTTGTTCATATAATTATGTGCAAACACCGTTCTTGCTCAAGAAAACTGCATCTTATCTCAATAAGGTTACACCAATTTTATACTTTGTTAAGTCTCTGGTATATTTTTTAAATAATGTTTACTTTGTGATTTTTATTCAACCTCGAATTCAAGAGAACATATTCATCTTTATTTTGCATCCTACATTTGACATCTTGTCCAGAAAAAATGGTTTGGCTAAGACATATATTTATTTTCACATGTTTATCCATCAATGTTTCTCACTTGAGCAGCCAAGTATTTCACTTAAGACAAGAGCAACAGACAGTAGAATTTGTGATAAATGTGTTTCATAAGCAGTTAATGTCCTACTTTCCACTTGAGTGCTCATGAAGTCCTTTGATGGTCAAGGCTGATATGTTGATAACTATCACTGTAAGCCCCAGTATGTCATATAGGTTTTATAGGATCCCTGGCCTTGAGTGACTGGGATTTTGTAAGATACAGATTTTTTTTTTCAGGCTCTGATACAATCAAATATAAAATTTAAGATATATTTTGAAGATCAGATTTTTTTAAATAATTGTTTTAAAAAGAATTCCCAAGCCCCGCCCCAGGGCACAAGGTCCTGATGTAACAGTATCAGTGAACCTGTGCACCAGTTAGTCACCTGATGCAGGGACAATGATGGCAGTGTCTGTAGTCCTACAACTTTCCTTTCTGTGTTTTTTATACAGCTGTTTCTGTGAAGGATTATCACACGGGAACACACTTATTAATAACATACTGCATCTTGTCTTTTTTTTAAAGCCGATGTGATTTTCTTAAGCCGGTTATGCTACAGAGATCAATGTCCATTCCTGTCTTAATTATCAACATTCCACTTTTCAGTGTGTTATTTCATTGACATATCACGGTTGCATCTGTATGGTTTCACGGTTTTATGAATTGTTTTACTCAGAATGCAATAGGTGCCATTTTTAGGTTGTTCAGTGCCTTTTTAATGTTCTACACCAAGTCTTTATATGTTGCCTTGACAACAGCCCGGGGATTGTTGAAGGAAATGAGATATTGGCCACACAGCAGAATGTACATTGAATATTGTTGGATGGAAAAGCTCCCTGAATAACTCATTGCCAATAGAGTTTTTGTCATTTTTCTGGCTCCCGTGAGAGTTCATTCACATAGAAACTTTTGTGTTGCTGTGTCAGTTTTGTCATTTTGGGGCTGATTTTGTTTAGAAATAATTGGACGTTTTGCTTTTTTAAATGTCACAGTATGTCACAATTTTCACATTTTGTATAAAAGGAGAATAGAATTGTTGTCATATGGGATGTTTTACGGACATATGGTTCTTATCTCTGAACCAAGAATATTTTTAAGCTTGATTTTTATACACAAGTTGAGTGAAGTTGCAGTTACAAACAAATGTAGACTTGATTGTTTTTATGTTTAAAAAAGCTGGCTTGAAGGGGCAGCAATCACCAGTGCTTTTACAAGGGGCCAGAGAGAGAGCATGTAACAATATCTCATTATGCAGAACTCATTTCATACTTTTGTATTTCACACACAGTTCATTTGAAATAAACTCATTTCTCATATGTAACTTGTTATTATTACATTCAGGTTGCAAGTCCTTGTCTGAAATATGTTACAGCCAGATCAATTGATGTTGTGTTTCTGATCCACCTGTCAGAAGTACCTTCTGTTGTGGGAAACAATCATGTCTGGGAACCCTATATGTCTAAATGTACACTTTCATCATCCTGTTGTCTTCATCTCTTCTGCTCACTTCAGCTAAAACTGGATGCATTATTTCCAAAACAATGAACCCAGAAAGGTGGGTGCAGAGAAAGAAATCATAGTAATAGGCACAATGCAGCAATGAAGTCATTACTGGTTTAGCTCACCTGACTGAAAACCTGCAAGGTGAATTCCATTATTAAATATGGCTGCCACTATTCCTCATAATGCAAGAGAGTTTCTGATCCTTCTGGCTCTATTTTCTGAAATTTTAAAGGTATGTTAAATTTTTCTCCTGCCTTCATATATTTTTGGGATCTATAAAATCTGTAAAACCTTTAAATAAGTCATGTAACTGTTCAGTCAATTTGTCAACAATGGAATGCATGTGTTTAAAATGTTACCACCAGCAAAATTCTGGTATTTATATAGAACATATAGATAATATTTGACAGAAAAGCTTTCTCTGAATTCTGCTAATCAGGCAGGTTGGTTGGCAGGAAAGCTTAGGACAGTCATTCATTGTGACATATTGGATGTCCTTCCATTCAGGAGTGACATCTTGGACATCTTTCCATTCAGGAGTGACATCTTGGACGTCCTTCCATTCATGAGCGACATCTTGGGCATCCTTCCATTCAGGAGCGATGTCTTGGACATCCTTCCATTCAGGAGCGACATCTTGGGCATCCTTCCATTCAGGAGCGATGTCTTGGACATCCTTCCATTCAGGAGCGACATCTTGGACATCCTTCCATTCAGGAGTGACATCTTGGACATCCTTCCATTGAGGAGTGACATCTTGGACGTCCTTCCATTCAGGAGTGACATCTTGGACATCCTTCCATTCAGGAGTGACATCTTGGACATCCTTCCATTCAGGAGTGACATCTTGGACATCCTTCCATTCAGGAGCGACATCTTGGACATCCTTCCATTCAGGAGTGACATCTTGGACGTCCTTCCATTCAGGAGTGACATCTTGGACGTCCTTCCATTCAGGAGTGACATCTTGGACATCCTTCCATTCAGGAGCGACATCTTGGACATCCTTCCATTCAGGAGCGACATCTTGGACATCCTTCCATTCAGGAGCGACATCTTGGTCGTCCTTGCATATAGGAGTGACATCTTGGACATCCTTCCATTCAGGAGTGACATCTTGGACATCCTTCCATTCAGGAGTGACATCTTGGACATCCTTCCATTCAGGAGTGACATCTTGGACATCCTTCCATTCAGGAGCGACATCTTGGACATCCTTCCATTCAGGAGTGACATCTTGGACGTCCTTCCATTCAGGAGTGACATCTTGGACGTCCTTCCATTCAGGAGTGACATCTTGGACATCCTTCCATTCAGGAGCGACATCTTGGACATCCTTCCATTCAGGAGCGACATCTTGGACATCCTTCCATTCAGGAGCGACATCTTGGACATCCTTCCATTCAGGAGCGACATCTTGGACGTCCTTGCATATAGGAGTGACATCTTGGACGTCCTTCCATTCAGGAGTGACATCTTGGACATCCTTCCATTCAGGAGTGACATCTTGGACATCCTTCCATTCAGGAGTGACATCTTGGACATCCTTCCATTCAGGAGTGACATCTTGGACATCCTTCCATTTAGGAGTGACATCTTGGACATCCTTCCATTCAGGAGCGACATCTTGGACATCCTTCCATTTAGAAGTGACATCTTGGACGTCCTTCCATTCAGGAGTGACATCTTGGACATCCTTTCATTCAGGAGTGACATCTTGGACATCCTTCCATTCAGGAGTGACATCTTGGACGTCCTTCCATTCAGGAGTGACATCTTGGACGTCCTTCCATTCAGGAGTGATGTATTGGACATCCTTCCATTCAGGAGCGACATCTTGGGCATCCTTCCATTCAGGAGCGATGTCTTGGACATCCTTCCATTCAGGAGTGACATCTTGGGCATCCTTGCATTCAGGAGCGATGTCTTGGACATCCTTCCATTCAGGAGTGACATCTTGGACATCCTTCCATTCAGGAGTGACATCTTGGACGTCCTTCCATTCAGGAGCGATGTCTTGGACATCCTTCCATTCAGGGGCGACATCTTGGGCATCCTTCCATTCAGGAGCGATGTCTTGGACATCCTTCCATTCAGGAGCGACATCTTGGGCATCCTTCCATTCAGGAGTGATGTCTTGGACATCCTTCCATTCAGGAGTGACATCTTGGACATCCTTCCATTCAGGAGCGATGTCTTGGACATCCTTCCATTCAGGAGTGACATCTTGGACGTTGTTCCATTCAGGAGCGATGTCTTGGACATCCTTCCATTTAGGAGTGACATCTTGGACGTCCTTCCATTCAGGAGTGACATCTTGGACATCCTTCCATTCAGGAGCGACATCTTGGGCATCCTTCCATTCAGGAGCGACATCTTGGACATCCTTCCATTCAGGAGCGATGTCTTGGACATCCTTCCATTCAGGAGTGACATCTTGGACGTTGTTCCATTCAGGAGCGATGTCTTGGACATCCTTCCATTTAGGAGTGACATCTTGGACGTCCTTCCATTCAGGAGCGACATCTTGGACATCCTTCTATTTAGGAGCGACATCTTGGGCATCCTTCCATTCAGGAGTGACATCTTGGACATCCTTCCATTCAGGAGTGACATCTTGGACATCCTTCCATTCAGTAGTGACATCTTGGCATCCTTCCATTCAGGAGTGACATCTTGGACATCCTTCCATTCAGGTGTGATATCTTGGGTGTCCTTCCATTTTGCTACATAATCTCTCAGGCTGGTTTACCCAGCTCAGTAAAATGCATGGCATTACTTAACCTGCTTGAGGTAGATAGAAGCAGTATACACAATTAATAGACAGAATCAATATACAGAATTGGTAGATAGAAACAGTGGATACAATTAATAGACAGAATCAATATACAAAATTGATAGATAGAATCAATATACGGAATTGTTAGATAGAAGCAGTAGACACAATTAATAGACAAGATCAATATACGGAATTGGTAGATAGAAATAGTATACACAATTAATAGACAGAATCAATATACAAAATTGATAGATAGAATCAATATACGGAATTGTTAGATAGAAGCAGTAGACACAATTAATAGACAAGATCAATATACGGAATTGGTAGATAGAAGCAGTATACACAATTAATAGACAGAATCAATATACAGAATTGGTAGATAGAAACAGTGGATACAATTAATAGACAGAATCAATATACAAAATTGATAGATAGAATCAATATACGGAATTGTTAGATAGAAGCAGTAGACACAATTAATAGACAAGATCAATATACGGAATTGGTAGATAGAAATAGTATACACAATCAATAGACAGAATCAATATACGGAATTGGTAGATAGAAACAGTAGATACAATTGTTAGACAGAATCAATTTACAGAATTGATAGATAGAATCAATATACGGAATTGTTAGATAGAAACAGTATACAGAAGTGATAGGCAGAATCAATATACGGAAATGATAGATAGAAACAGTAGATACAATTGATAGACAGAATCAATATTCGGATTTGGTAGATAGAAACAGTATACAGATATGATAGATAGAAACAGTATACACAATTAATAGACAGAATCAACATACGGAATTGGTAGATAGAAATAGTATACACAATTAATAGACAGAATCAACATACGGAATTGGTAGATAGAAATAGTAAAAACAATTAATAGACATAATCAATATACGGAATTGATAGATAGAAACAGTAGATACAATTAATAGACAGAATCAACGTACGGAATTGATAGATAGAAACAGTATACACAATTAATAGATAGAATCAATATACGGAATTGGTAGATAGAAGCAGTAGATACAATTGATAGACAGAATCAATATACGGAATTGGTAGATAGAAGCAGTATACACAATTTATAGATAGAATCAATATACGGAATTTTTAGAAAGAAATAGTATACACAATTAAAAGACAGAATCAATATACAGAATTGATAGAGAGAATCAACATACGGAATTGGTAGATAGAAACAGTAGACACAATTCATAGATAGAATCAATATACAGAATTGATAGATAGAATCAATATACAGAATTGTTAGAAAGAAATAGTATACACAATTAATAGACAATCAATATACAGAATTGATAGAGAGAATCAATAAACGAAATTGGTAAATAGAATCAATATACAGAATTGTTAGAAAGAAATAGTATACACAATTAATAGACAGAATCAATATACAGAATTGATAGATATAATCAATTTTCGGAATTGTTAAATAGAAGCAGTATACACAATTAATAGACATAATTAGTATACGGAATTGGTAGATAGAAGCTGTTTACACAATTGATAGACAAAATCAAAATACGGAATTGGTAGATAGAAACAGTATACAGAATTGATAGACAGAATGAATCTACAGAATTGATAGATAGAATCAATATACAGAATTGGTTGATAGAAACAGTATACACAACTGATAGACAAAATCAGTATACGGAATGGATACATAGAAACATTATACACGACTGAGACGGTTAAAATAACAATCGACATCTTAAATAATTGTGTAGAAAACCTAAGGGATTTTTCCTCAAATCAAGTGTAAAACATCAATACACTTCAATCTGTGAAAAAAGTGTTTTGAAATGTGTGCTTCTAAGGAAACACAATATATATATACGACCATGACCACAGATAACTTTTGCCTTTGAATATGTATGGAATCATTTATTAAAAGAGATTCGGTTATACACAGCTGTCATAGCCTGTTGAAGGTAAGCTGTACATGCTTAACATTAAATCAAGTGACTCAATTAAATGTGTTCTCTATTGACATTTAACATGGCTGCGAAGGAGAAAGTCTTGGTAACAAATAGAATTAAAGAAGAGAAAAAAACAGCCTTATCGCTGTCCCCCGCCAAGGGGTACCTTAGAACTTTGCTCAGAAAGTAATGAAGTTAATGTTGAAAGGCATGCAGTAAGGGCTTTAACTCTATAAAAATACATGTTGCAAGGGACATAACTCTGGAACAAAGATTATTTATGGCACCATTTTTAAACTCAGTCTTGATAACAATCCCTTGTAGAGTTTCAGTCGTGTAACTTCTGTAGTTTCTGAAAAACTTGTCCCCACTGCAGACACGGTGCACATAGTAGTAAAAGCAAAGAAACACACAAACAAAATGTTTTTCAGAAACACAGAAACATAAAAAAGCACGAGTTTCATACATATGCAAAGTTCCAAAATAAAATATGAAACGGTTTAAAAGTTATATATTTTAAGAGCATTTAAAAACCCCAACAAAGTTTAAATTGTTATTCATAAACACCAGTTACAGTGAAATACGAATTCTCATTATGTGAAAAAGATTTACATAATTATGGCGACTTATTTATACCAAATCAAATGAAGGCAATTATTTTATTGTTTTAATTTCGGTGAATCAATATATTTTCTTTACGTGTATGGATTGTAAGTTATATTATCTGCAAACTGACACTGACAGTGTCAATCCGTTTACTATCTGCAAGATTTGGTTGTCATTTCCGTATAACGAGGCATGCTGGGCCTTATAACGAATGTTTAACCACGACATACCAGCCGTATAGCGATTACGACATACCTATCTATTCCATGTTAATCTTGTTAGTCAATTTATTACCATTAATCATTAATGATTTTCAATTTGTGTATGGACTCTGTGGTCGATATCTCAAGTTTGAAAGATTTTATTGGAAAAAGCGACAATCAGAAAGTAGTCACAATAAACCTTTCCTTCCTCCTTTCATGGAGAGTTCCCACATGTGAATTTGTGCTGTTTGACAATGACCTTCATATAGACACGGAAATCAGGGTAAAATAAGGACGGTTGTCTCAGCACGTTGTCATATTTGATCGATTATGTCATTATGATGTAATATTCTAAGATCGAAGATGAATGAATGCGAAATGTCAAGCAGGCATCTATGAAGTTTCCAAGCGTTAACTAATATTTACAGGTGTGAGAAGCGCAAATAAAATCGTTTCAACCAAAACGGTTACAGGCCGCCTAAGCCACATTTCGAAAATAGGTAGCCAAAATTGATGTGGCTCGCGGGGCAATGGTTACGGTTGCGTGATTGTGGAATGTGGCGCTCGTGGCTATGCTGTCAAAACATGCTTTGTGATTCTAGCAGGTTACCGTATTTAACAAAACAAGTCTTGTTATCTCATTTTTTTATTCAGATCATAACAGGGTTAATATATTCAACATTACATTGATGTATATCATGACAAGTCATATTAAATTGTCACATTACAGGTCACGATTGTGTAATGAATTGTTGTGTAGCCCATCTAAAACAATGACAATGTTTGCACTTACATGTAAGACACAGATGTATTATGCTACTGCATGACTTGATGATGCCGAACACTCCCATAATGTCATTACTGCAGATGAAGGAGGTTGCCCACGTGGTCAGCACATTCCATCTCACTCAGGTGTTGGTTCAGGAGCTGGGTCTTGAGCGATGCAATACAAGCATCGATTTCTTTGTACTTCCTTCTTCGTGAAGGTTCTGACCACTGGTGAGAGAGTCTCAGGACTGCAACCTCTGTGAGTGACTGCTCGCGCTGAAAGAACTTCACTACCTCGTAGATGTTCGGGTGGCACTTCTTGACAATTTTCTTTATCTTGTTGTGCCACCCTTCCAGGTGATTGTTTGTACGGTGGCCTTGGTTTTCGAAGTGATTCCAAATCTCTGGCATGAAGGCCCCTCCTTGAACCCAACTGGTTGTCACATAGTCCATGAAGGCAGTCACTTTAGGGCCAGCAGGAGAGTCAGCAATGGCATCAAGCCACACATCATCCACCTTGTCACGAGGTGGCTCGGAGCAACTCACCCTGAGTTGTGATCCTTGCAGTGCACTCCTTGACAATACAGGACCAGTATCTTCTTTCACCAAGACTGCTCTTACACCGAAACTTAAAGCCATCATAGCACAAAATGACGCCTCCTCTGCCACTTTCAATGAACTTTATTTGAACTTGTGCATTTACCATGGTTCTGACATGGAGTGAACAGGACGTCACTTAAATATGTTATGAATAACAGGATTAACTCAATGTCATTTAAGACCGCCATTGATCTCTAAGTAATCTCTAGTAATTCTCTACAAGCTAATTGAGGTGAGTTTACTCAATTTAAATGTGGGACACTCATTTAAAGGTATCGGTAATCTGATTAATTAATACTGGCTAGAGTAGGTGAAATGCACACAGCTGAAAATGTGGCGCATTCGGCAATAGTCATTTTTGAAATGTGGCTCAACCTGCTAGATACCGCCAAAACTGATCATCATCTGCTTCAACGACACATAATGAAATCGCATCAGCATCCTTTCTGTGATTGTAGATTTTGCAGAGACGCTTACCCTAATGAGGGAAATATTATCTCATCTGATACCCATTTAAGTTAAAGATGAACGACAATCCTTACATATTTTCATGGCACATGCCTACTGCTATAACTACTATTACCATTGTTGACCAAATAAACGATTTTATGTGGCCTACATAATAAGTCTTTATTAACTGAAGCAATAGCTAATCAGAGTTGTGCAGATTAGGAAAATGACGAGTCAGTGATCTGCAGTTGACAAACACAATGCATGTTCTAAGTTTCTAACTAAATTATATTTTCCAACTTGCCCGGCACTTTATTTTCACGGGTCGGTCAGGTACTAATTGAACACTCCTGTTGTGTAGAGGGCTGATACGCATAATACACTCGGACAATATATATTTATTTTTCATAAAAAACAAACCATGAGCATATGACACTGGAAATATCATAATAAACAAATCCGTTCTGAAGTATTCAATTTAAAAAAAATAAAATGATGTATGTTATTCCTTTTATTACACAATTTATGGTTATAAAAATGTTCATTATATATCTGGACTTACAATTGTAATCTATTGTATTGATTTTATTCAAAATTCATTCAATATTGTTTATGTTCATTTTGGTGAAATTGTGCTTGAACTGATCGGAAGATTGCACCAATTCACCATTATTTACTGCAACCATGGTAGCTCGAAGGTGTGAATGATACATAATATAATAATAGGATTAAATTGTGTACTTCAGTTCAGATTTGTTGACTGGTATTTCTGGTGTTACGTGATCATGGTGATCAGCTGATAATTTTTTATAAGATGGGGAAAAACATTGTGTCATTGGAAAATTTGCGTTTATGTTAGTTAATTTTGGCACCATGCTTTACCGCGCTATAACCGAGTTAGGGCTATATTGAAGGGCGCAATAGTGAGGGAACACTGTATTTTCATTGATATTCTATTTTGTGTATCAATACAGTATTGTGTGTGTAGTGTCCATATATGTGTATAGAATGTAGCAAATAGCTTTGTGTGGCTGTTTCTATGGAGACAGTAATCATGTATTGATGATATGTTCAGTACACTTTGTTTGCAGAGAAGAACTCAAAACATATTTCAAATATATCCAAACAACGCTATTAATTGCTTTGATCATGTATGACATGTTTAAGTAATTGTTTTGTATAATAATGTTAAAACTTTAACCAAAAATTCAAATGGCATCATTTTCTACTTTAAATTATCTGAATTTGAGCTTATTTCAAATACATGTATATCAAAACAATGCTATTAATTGCTTTGAACATGTATGACATGTGTAAGTAATTATTTTGTATAATAATGTTAAAACTTTAACCAAAATTTAAAATGACATCACTTTCAACTTTGAATTATCTGAATTTGAGCTTCTTGATGATAAGTAATCCATAAGTAATCTATTTTGCCTTTCAGGAATCATGAGGTTGCTTGGACAGATAATTCAACAGGTCAGAGGTCATTATGGCATGACCTTGACCTGTGGAAGGACAAAGTTACATCTGGGAAACAGGATAACCCCTATGTCTGTTTTTTCACGTTCATTCGCCTCTGAGACAAACCAAGATGCCCTCACCGAGATGCCGCTGAAGCATCCTGTGAAAGGGGAGCTTGTGTATGGCGGACCTCTGTGGAAAATGGTTAAGGGCATCAAAGCCTTCTCAGTGTCCACCAGTATGATTGGACTGGGGCTGCAGCCGTACATACTGATGAACGCAGGGGAGGCTGCCATGTTCAGTAAAGTGATGATAGGAGGAACGATAAGCTTTTTCATCTTCATCACCCCTATGCTGATTCATTTTGTGACAAAGAAGTATGTGACCTACTGCTACCTGAACAGAGACACTGGGAGCTTCACAGCAGCCACCTACAGCTTCTTCCTGAGGAGGAAGGAGATTGAGTTCACAGCTGAAGACGTGGTGGTGCCGGACATCCCGGGCATGTTCACCACCGTACTGGTCAAAGGGAAGCCACTGTTCCTGGATGCACGGATGTTCTACAGCAAGGACGCCTACATTCACTTCATGGGCTATGACAAGCCTATTGACTGGACAATGCCAGATTACAGCAAGAAGCCCAAGAAGGAAACATGATTGTATGATTTCAAGTGGAATCTGTGTGTATGTGAATGTAGAGAAAAATAAACATTATTCCAGTGTGAACAGGATTTTGTTCAACGTATATTGTTGGAATAAGAGTGAGTGAATGAGTATGGTTTTACACCGCTTTTAGCACTATTCCAGCAATATCATGGCGGGGGACACCAGAATAAGGCTTCACACATTGTACCACTGTCGGGAATCGAACCCGGGTCTTTGGTGTGACGAGTGAACGCTTTAACCACTAGGCTACCCGACCGCCCCTTGTTGGAATAAGAAAACTGACCCAAATTCATCATGTGGGTGGCAACACTTCACTAAAAGGGGCAGTGGGTTAGCATAGTAGTTAGGCATGGGCTCACTGCACCAAAGGTCTTGGTTCAACTCTGCAAATGGGTCCAATGTTTTTAAACATTTCTGGTGTCCTCCATACAAAATATATATATTTGTATTAACGATGTTAGAATAAAGCGGCATCACTATGTTATGGACTACTAGTTTAGATGCAGTGAGAAGTGAAAACGTCAAACTGGAAAAAAACATTTTGGTTCTCCATGTCAGCACCAAGGTTGTGTTGTTTTTACACAAACAAGGAAAATTGTGACCAATGACAACAGGCTTAACAGCCGTGCATCTCAGCTGGTCAGGCTTAAATATAGTAAATATATATATAGTAAGGAAGTGGAATGTTACTGTTCTGTCACTTATAAGGACAGCCTCCATGGTCTAGTAGATTGAGTATCTGCCCATGGAGGGGAAGGTTGGTGGTTCGATCTCTGGCTGTATCATACCAAAGACATTAAGAGATGGTACTTCTTATGACCCTGCCTAATACTCAATATTCAGGAGAGAAAACAAGGACTAGTCTCGAAGTCAGGATATTGTGTCTGAGTAGGGTAGAACAATAAATCTGCTTAAATCTCCACTAGCATGCATGCATGCACACATGTCGCTATTGACGTGCAATCTATGCTGTTATGTCTTAAATGTTCAACAGGTTGAATGGTTGAATTCAGATCAGTGATGCCCAGTTTGAACAGTCTATGCTTTTATTTAATCGTGTTAATGTACTAAAATCATTATTAATGTCATAATACTTCAACCGCTTCCATATGAGACAATTAATCACTATTCAAATACTAGTAGTCTTCCCCAGAAAAAGTAGGTCAGGTTAGGTTAGGTTAGGTTAGATTAGGTTAGGTGTCTGTAATAATAAGAGCTTAACTCTGATTTGCACTTACATCTAACACTAGCTATACACTCTCCACTGTTTCTAGCTGCAGATGCAGGGACATATGATGTCAGAACTGAGATGGAGGACGAGTGGTAAATGATCTGATTCAGTGAAAGACAAACTTTCCATATAATTACAATACTGAGAAAGGCAAATATCTGCTCTCTCACTATATGTGTGTGCAGAGAATCACCATGTACAGTGCATGGGACTTGAAACAAACAGGAGCGAGCCAAGCCAGAGACCACATATCCTTATGTTTATAGTTTGTGCATGTCATTGATCCCAATTGCGTGGATCGATGTTCATGCTGTCAATCACTGGATTGTCTGGGCCAGGCTCGATTATTTACAGACTGCCATCATATAGCTGGAATATTGCTGAGTGCAGCGTTAAACAAAACCAAAACCAAACTTCATTGACATTTCTACAGCCAGATTGAAATCACATTATATTTTGAGAAAGACATGACCATAACCATGAAAGTCACACATTCCACAAGCAAGGGCCACGCTAAATCAGCGCAGATCTCTGGCAAGAAGACACAATATCAATAAATAAGGCACATAGTCACATACGTCAAGAAAGAAGACGCAAAACAATAGACACAATCACGCTAAACCGGACACAGACGTCTAGAAAGAACACACAATCACGCTGAATCGGCACACACGTCTAAATAGAAGCCACAATAACGCTAAATCATGTGCAGATGTCTAGTAAGAGGACACATTCACGATACGTCTGGAACAGACGTCTAGAAAGAACACAGTCACAATCGGGCACATGTGTTGAGAAAGAAGACACAATCAAGCAAAATCGGGCACAGACGTCTAGAAAGAAGGTACAATCACGCTGAATCGGGCACAGATGTTTAGAAAGAAGACACATTCACCATAAATCAGGTACAGATGCCTAAAAAGAAGACACAATCACGCTTAGTCGGGCACAGACGTCTAAAAAGAAGACACAATCAAGCTTAATCGGGCACAGACGTCTAGAAAGAAGACACAATTAAGCAAAATCGGGCACAGACGTCCAGAAAGAAGACACAATCATGCAGAATTGGGCACAGACGTCTAGAAAGAAGACACAATTAAGCAAAATTGGACACAGACGTCTAGAAAGAAGACACAATCATGCAGAATCGGGCACAGACGTCTAGAAAGAAGACACAATCACGATAAGTCGGGCACAGACGTCTAGAAAGAAGACACAATTAAGCAAAATCGGGCACAGACGTCTAGAAAGAAGACACAATCATGCAGAATCGGGCACAGACGAAAAGAAAGAAGACACAATCACGATAAGTCGGGCACAGATGTCTAGAAAGAACACACAATCACGCCCAATCGGGCACATAAAACTCGGAAGAAGACACAATCACGCTAAATCATACACAGACGTCTAGAAAGGACGCAATCACGATAAATCGGGCACAGACGCCTAGAAAGAAGACACAATCGGGCACAGATGTCTGGAAAGAACACAGTCAAGATAAATCGGAAACAGACGTTTAGAAAGAAGACACAATCAAGCAAAATCGGGCACAGATGTTGAGAAAGAAGACACAGTTACGATAAGTCGGGCACAGACGAAGAGAAAGAACACACAATCATGCAGAATCGGGCACAGATGTTGAGAAAGAAGACACAGTTACGATTAACAGGCACATATGTCTAGAAAGAAGACACAATCACGCTAAATCGGGCACAGACGTCTAGAAGGAAGACACAATCACGCTAAATCGGACACAGAATTCTAGAAGGAAGACACAATCACGCTGAATCAGGCACAGGCGTCTAGAAAGAACACAAAAACACGCTATATCGGACACAGATGTCTGGAAAGACGACACAATCACGATAAGTCGGGCACAGACGAAGAGAAACAACACACAATCATGCAGAATCGGGCACAGATGTTGAGAAAGAAGACACAGTTACGATAAGTCGGGCACAGACGAAGAGAAAGAACACACAATCATGCAGAATCGGGCACAGATGTTGAGAAAGAAGACACAGTTACGATTAACAGGCACATATGTCTAGAAAGAAGACACAATCACGCTAAATCGGGCACAGACGTCATCGGGCACAGACGTCTAGAAGGAAGACACAATCACGCTAAATCGGACACAGAATTCTAGAAGGAAGACACAATTACGCTAAATCGGACACAGAATTCTAGAAGGAAGACACAATCACGCTGAATCAGGCACAGGCGTCTAGAAAGAACACAAAAACACGCTATATCGGACACAGATGTCTAGAAAGACGACACAATCACACTAATGTGTCCAGTGTTTTCGATACAACAGGGCATGTCTATCCTTTTCGCGAACACTTGGTGTCACCAATGCAATACAAGGAAGAGCCCAAGGTACAGATCTCGATACGGAGAGAAGTTAGACTCCCCCTTTCCAATGTTCAAGATTCCTGGCTGGAGGCGATGATTGCAGCACCTGAGGTTGCACGGTCCGAAGACGTCCATGACTACAAGATGACGAGATGGGTTGATGACGACGCGCGTTTCCGGCTCCGGAATCATCACCACACCGTCGGACCAAGAACCAACAACCTGAGGGTTTCCATGCTCGTGTAAACCACAGTCTCCTGCAGTCTCTTAATACAGATTTGTGGAAATGGTACAATTGATTGAGCAGTCAGAAGGTGCTAAGCTGACCCAGATAGACTTGGTGTTGCTCCCCCACCCGGACAGTACAGACAGTCTGAGGGGAAACTTCTGCGTCTGAAGGAGAAGTTGCGCACTGGGCAAAAGTGGGTTTGAATAGTTGGATGCAGTTGGACATTTGTTAATTTTTGTTTTGTTTGGTGTTTAACATCGCACTCAGCTGTATTCAAGCTTTTTGACGGCGAACTGTTCATAATCCAGTGATTGACATCATGCGCATTGATCTACAGAATTGGGATACAATGACGTTAAACAATGTCGTTAACCAACCAACCAACAAAACACACTGATGAATCTGTTTCAGCGGGTTGTATTCTGGCTTTGACGTTTCGAATTTATTAGAGACAGCTCGAATATCCTCTTAAAATGTAATCAGTTATTGTAGCGAAGTAAGTCAACAGATTGCAGTTCAATGGTAACTACATAATAGAATCAAATTGATTCCGCTATTAATATTTGCATCTCATCTGAAGATCGTGCATCGTAATAATGCAATCGACGCAACCCTCGTGATAGGAGTACATGTTTTGTGACATTGGGCAGGGGATGCATGTTTACCGGTCCTCTTCCCCAAATATTAGTTCTTGCTGATGTAAATTTACTGTAATATTTGTACACCAATGTGGGACAAAAGATTGTTTAAACTATGTTGAGTTTATTCACAAGTATACAAGGCTTGTAGTGGCAGAACGATTCCCTATGACCTTTCCTTTGGTCTACTAACTTAATGGTCCATCATTAACAGCTGAACCATGTCTTTAGACCTTTCTGTGGTCTTCTTTCTTTATGATGCATCACTATGACCTTTTCTTTGGTCTACTAACATCGAACAATAGTTATCATTGTTAATACTACCTCTGTTACATCTTTGCCATAAATCCTGTCTTTTGGCTTCTACATTTTCAGATTTTCAACAGACGTCCTCTTCATTGTCAATTACACACAATTAGTTGTTACCAATATAGCACTATAGCAACCCAAGCTATGACGTGCGTAATGGCGGGAAACCGCACTTCTTTCCAACATCTAACCACTAGATGAATTGGGGAGGTGGGTGGGACTACTTTGGTTGTAATAGAGGTAGTTTTCTTAGAATTATAAACAAATGATAAGTATTGTTCGATCATTCTTGCGAATCCTCTAACTCCATTACATCTTTGCCAGAATATACCAGAGGGACCCGGAGGGATTTGCCTCCTGTAACTCCCTATGTAATTGATAGTAATCCTCTTCTGGAAACCATTTAATAACTGATTCTAATCCTGACTCGAGATAATTTCCTCTGAAATTTCTCACAAGGACTTGAAAATCAGAATGCATCAAGAATCAACTTCACGAGATTTATATTTGCTGATCTTGTTAGTAATAATGATGTAATTTCTTGTCTATTTCTACCATATGACGTCATTTCTTGTTGAAAATGGATTTGTGACACTATTTCCGGTGCTGGCGTCACATCCGGGTCTGACCTCACTTTCGGTTGTGGCATCACTTCCGGTTTGTCACTTCCCTTTTATCGGATAATGACTTCACTATGGTCCATTTCTACCAAAAGACGTCATTTCCTGATTAAACAAACCTTGTACTGCTATTTCCGGTTCTGACGTCACTTCCGGTTCTATCTCTTCCGGTCATCTGCACTTATTACCAGAAGCAGTTGATACGGGTAGCCTAGTGGTTAAAACGTACGCTCGTCACGCCAACGACCCGGGTTCGATTCCAGACATAGGTACAATGTGTGAAACCCATTTCTGGTGTCCCCCGCCGTGATATGGCTGGAATATTGCTAAAAGCGGCGTAAAACCATACTCACTCACTCACTCACATAAGGTGCTCCTAATCCATCCTACACCTAATAGACAGGATAATCAAGGGTGATGCTGTTGTCGGAGGAAACTATTGGTGGATAATAGTTTGCACCGCAACAATTGGCCAAAGGGAATATATGCCCTCTAGGTCCGGCTGTACATCACGCAAGTAAAAATTGATGAAGGTGTTTTGTGAGGCCCACTGACAGCAAGTGGTACTTGTTCCACTGAAACGGATGTCAAGCTTCTTCTTGGTCTGCTGCCAGGAAATCATCCAGGTACCCATGGATTCGTACTAGCTGGAGGTGGGCAAACCTGATGAGTGTGTAGCCGCCATAAAATTTCCGAGTCCCTTTATGGGATTTGAACCACGGACCTTCTGATCCGGGGTCGGACGCCTTGTCCACATGACCAAAGAGGTTAACCCCGTCAGCAAACTGACAAGGTAAGGATGTCATCTGTGGGATGACTCCACGCCCTGCTACATACTCCCCCGTCAACAGAAGGCACGTCCCATGCCGCATAGTAGTGTACTGAGGCTTATTTTGCTCAAATTTAATATGAACGTGCTCAGCCCCACGTTGGGCGCCAATGTATCGGCCATAAAATTTCCGAGTCCCTTGATGGGATTCGAACCACGGACCTTCTGATCCGGGGTCGGACGCCTTGTCCACATGACCAAAGAGGTTAACCCCGTCAGCAAACTGACAAGGTAAGGATGTGGGATGACTCCACGCTCTGCTACAAGTGGTAAACAGCCAAGTGGCTATTGCTATCCCGAATGGTAAGATCTGGAACTCGTAGCGTCGACCATTGATTGCGAAGCCCAGGTTCTTCAGTGAAGATGGATGTATCGGGACATTTAGATAGGCGTCTTGTAGGCTAAGGCTGATGAGCCAATCACCTCTCCTCAAAGTCGACCGCAACTTCCGTATGGATTCCACCTGGAACTTTGAAGGAGGTACCAGGAATCTTTTGTTGAGGATCTATTATCTATTAAGTCCATTATGTCCGGCGAATTCCTTTTCGGAACTAAGAATACCGGACAATAAATGCCTTTGGTCCTGTTGGTCTCCGATAGTTTCTAAATGGTTCCTGATTTCAGGATGGGATGCCTCTTGAAATGCAGTTTGTATCCATGAGCCTTAGGAGTGGAGTCCGTGCGGTGAACGTACGGTGTCTAAGCTGGAGAGTATGGCCTTGCGGTACCCTGACGGGACCCAAGCGGAGTTCTAGATCCCCGTGTTTCACGGGAGGGTAAAGCTTGAGAGCTTCTACCTGGCTGGTTGGTATGATCGTCTGGGGGTAGACGGCTGTGGATGTGACCTGAACAGATGGCTCTCCCCAATGCGGCCTCTTGGCCAGAGGACTCTTCTTAGCCAATACTGTCTGCTTCTTCTTAAGCATCTCCATGTCCTGAGTTATAGCTGAGAAGCATGACTCAAACATCGACTCCATCATCTCCTTTTGTTGTTTGAATAGTTGTTCTGTCAAGTTCATAGAGAACGCAGGAGATGATTCATTCGCCGAGTAGATGGTAGAGGTGCTGAGATGGAGTCAGAGGCTAAGTCAGTGTCAGTAGCCGCAACGATGTCAACATTCTTCTTAGATGTTTCTCATCTTCTAGCTTTTATTAAGGCCTCAGCTGGCTTGGTGAAATACTTCTTAGAGTAGAGCGCTGATCGCATCTTGCCTCTTCCGTGCATTTGGCCTCTCTGCACTTCCAGGAGTTGTTGAGGATCTCCCATGATCATAAAATGGCCACATTTATTGCAAGTAGGAGAGGGAGACTCCATGACGACCTCACACCAGCTTTATAATTACATGAGTACGATCGTCACTACAATTAGCAGACATTTATATTGACTTAATATGTCTATTTTAAGAAAACTATAGAACAATTTGAGATTAATGTGACTAAACCAAGTGATAGATCATTACAACTGTTGACTCAAGCAGCACACAGAGGAAAGTGAGAGTGAGTGAGGACGGTTTTATGCCGCTTTTAGCAATATTCCAGCAATATCACGGCAGGGGACACCAGAAATGGGCTTCACACATTGTACCCATGTTGGGAATCAAACCCGGGTTTTCGGCATGACGAGCGAATGCTTTAACGACTAGGCTACCCGACCGCCCCCACACAGGAAAGAAGTGAGGTTTCCCACCATTACACACATCATAGCTTTTGTTGCTATAGTGCTATATTGACAACTAATTGTGTGTATTTGACAGTGAAGAGGATGTCTGTTGAAAATCTGAAAATTTAGTTAGTGTGACTGAAGCCAAAATAAGGATTTATGGCAAAGATGTAATAGAGGTAGAGGATTCGCAAGAATTTTTATGTTCCACCACTTGGCATTTGGTCTGCCATCTTTATGATCCATCACTGACAGCTGAACATGTCTCAATTTTCTTTGGTCTACTTTGTGATATATCCCTGGCATTTGGTCTGCTATCTTTATGATCCATCACTTGCAGCTGAACATGTCCCCATTTTCTTTGGTCTACTTTGTGGTATATCTCTGGCATTTGGTCTGCCATCTTTATGATCCATCACTGGCAGCTGAACATGTCCCAATTTTCTTTGGTCTACTTTGTGATATATCCCTGGCATTTGTTCTGCTATGATCCATCACATGCAGCTGAATGATGTCCATAGACCTTTTCTTTGGTCTACCTTTCTGACCAAACCATATCCCTTATATATAAAACAAACACATTACATATATTAATTGATCCTCATTTTTATTCAAAATTGAAAAAAAATGATGACTTAATGAAATGGATGATCATGAATCACCTGTGTGAGGTCAAATGATCATGATTTCACAACCAACAATTTTTATGTGTCACAATGTTTTATCATACAAAATAGTCATTTAAGAATATTAAATATTGATATTGGGGACTAAACACTGACCCTTTCAAACCATGGTCAGACAGGTTCAAAATTAACTATGAGAAGTGATTTATTTATTAATAATGCTTTTAACACTGAAAATTTTTCCTCGGGAGATGTTGGCCACCAAGATGAATGCTGTCCATGGTTTGAGATCGGGTCAAGCATGGTCTGGGCTAGCGTGACCAGGTTGTTAGTCTGGCCATTGTTGGCACCTTACTGCAGCACCATCAGCTGATATGTTTCACGTCGTCATAGCAACTGCCAGTACATTCCGATCGGCAGCTGACACAGCGAGATGGTGCCAAGATACTGTCACACATGTTTTTCACAAAGTATTTAAATCAAATTTCAAAGATTAACACAGGTCAACTGAAAGATAATCTTGCTTAATTGTATTTACAAGTATTTATATATAGTCTTTCCAACTTAATTTCAAAAGAATGAATTTGTTCAAGTAACACATTGGGAAATATCCATTTTAAAAATATATGTTCATGGAAAGTTTGTAATTATTTAGGCGGTAACTCTGCTTCGTAAGGGATGGAAGTGACATCCTGGCAACTTTCTCGCTGACCCTTGTAGCATTTGATTAAACCGTGCCAATATCACAGAGACTTATCATGACGTAGATCATGACAGTTATTTGCTTGTCATCACTACCAATAGAAGCATAAATGTATGTACATCATAATTACTGTACATCTCCGATAATTACCATAACGTCTACAATGAGGTGCAATTAAGTTTAATCTGCTTCTATATAATCACAGACATAACAAACAACTAAATATAGGAGTGACGAGGGTGCTGATGATCCATAACATTGTCAAGGAAACTGAATGGTTATTTAACAGTTGTCATGGCAACAAAATGCAACCTCACCATGTAAAACCTCTACTGATGTCCACCACAAGTCTGTTTTGTCACACTGTTGTCATGGGAAACCACTCAGCAATCTTGGCAGTTGTCATGGAAACCACTACCCCGACAGCTAGACAGATTTCTACAATAACATGACTGTTGGTTCGATCATAAATGGACACAATCATTCAAATGAAGTGAAATCAACAGTACACAAATCCTTTCACTCAGATTAATGTCACACATTATTAAGGTGAGGTGAAATTATGTTATTTGAATAAATATGAATGAACATGTCAAATAGTAGTTATGTGGATGAAGCAAATGCAGACAGACCAGTGCCAGATGACAGGAAGATGTTCATTTACAGTATGGACAGTTTCAGAACATCAACAGGACCACAGTCATGTTAAACAGTGTCCTGCATGGCCTGTGACGGCAGTCATGTTAAACAGTGTCCTGCATGGCCTGTGATGGCGGTCATGTTAAACAGTGTCCTGCATGGCCTGTGATGGCGGTCATGTTAAACAGTGTCCTGCATGGCCTGTGATGGCGGTCATGTTAAACAGTGTCCTGCATGGCCTGTGACGGCAGTCATGTTAAACAGTGTCCTGCATGGCCTGTGACGGCAGTCATGTTAAACAGTGTCCTGCATGGCCTGTGACGGCAGTCATGTTAAACAGTGTCCTGCATGGCCTGTGACGGCAGTCATGTTAAACAGTGTCCTGCATGGCCTGTGACGGCAGTCATGTTAAACAGTGTCCTGCATGGCCTGTGACGGCGGTCATGTTAAACAGTGTCCTGCATGGCCTGTGACGGCAGTCATGTTAAACAGTGTCCTGCATGGCCTGTGACGGCAGTCATGTTAAACAGTGTCCTGCATGGCCTGTGACGGCAGTCATGTTAAACAGTGTCCTGCACTCTTGTGAAGTGACTGTAAAGCAAATTTAATCTGATGAGCACGATTTCGAAGAATTTACCCGCTGCACTTGTTGATCATGTAAATGTTCCCCAAAACAAAGCGTAATGTAACTGGGTTGGCTGACAGCTGGAGAGGGACATTCGATGTTACACCCACTAACAATTTTACAACATTTTCACAACTGTTACAATTTCATTTCAACATAGAACTGCTTCACATTTTTTGTTTAGTAGTATTTAGTTATTCTACATCCACAAATAACAAGTAGACGGATTCACAAATTGTACCAACATAGGAATAGAACCAGAACCATTAGTGAAACAAGTGAACACTTGACCACTGGGCTACCCCACAGTCCCTTACAATACAACACTACAGCTGAACAACATCGCCCTCTTCCAAGCCTGCCTTGTTTGCCTTGGTCCTCTGCTTCAGTAAATGATTGCCCAGCCATTGTTGGAGGATGAAGCCACTTGGACCGAGCATGTCCCCATTTGCTTCTCATGGATGAACAATGGGGATAACTATATACAAAATCAAGTATGATGCTAGTTCAATGACAGGAGTTTCTGTACACCACAGGTAGATACAATAATTAATGGAATTGTCTATGCTATGGATCATAACCTGTTTTTCTTTGTACACAACAAGGGAAGGTTACACAAATAAAACATGAATCACAAATCACTGGGGGTTTGTATAGTAGGGAATGTTTGTAGTGTTCTAAAAAAATACACTTCATGAACATAAATGGAAATGATGAAAACCACTTTCTGAAGGTTTTGAAAATGAATTTGCACATTTTGAAGGATTGTCATAATTGAGCTGAAATGAATGACAAAAGAAAAAGCTGGGATAAGCAAGTCCTGTGCTACTTACGCTGAACATTGTACAAGCTGATTTCTGATTGAGCAGGAAGGCAAGACATACCTGCTGATTTCTGATTGGTCAGGTAAGCAAGTTATACTTGCTAATTTCTGATTGGTCAGTAAAGCAAGTTACACCTGCGGATTTCTGATTGGTCAGGATAGAGAATTATACATGGTGATGTGATTGGTCAGGAAAATGAGTTATACCTGCTGATTTCTGATTGGTAAGGAAAGTGACTTATACTGACCTCACACATGCATTAGCTTTTAACAGCCAAGTATATTTTCATGGAAAGAAATATTTCCGAAATTCTTGTTACAGAAATCAGCTTGTGCTATAAGTATCATACACAAATAGTGGACAGTAATGCACATAGCGGTTGTACATGTCATCCCAGTTTAGATCCAATCAAGCATAACCTGCAAACACTACCCACTATACACCGTCCTCCTTTTTCTCTTTACGTTGTTTTCAAGTACTCTAAATTCTAGACTGAGACAAATAAAAAGTCACTGGACACACACTCTGCAACAGGAAGTGACAGCGTCAATGGTGGCTCACACCATCACCAGCTAGGCTGGATGTCGAAGATATATATTACACCACAAATACAAAAATATAAAGCTTTTTTCAAGGACAAATTCCCTCCGAAAGCGACAATAGAGACTACAGACAATACCTGATGTGTTATTGGTAAAAAGCTGGTATCAAAAGCTAAAATGATGATCTCATCTGCTTCTAGATTTGTATAGGACTGTGGATTATATTCACAGCTGAAACGAGGGTTATCCTGCACCTTTGTCACAAACTGGTTATATGTTTTAAAAAGCAAAACATTCATTATAGCATTGAATAGCTAAAGGCTTGCAAAATTAATAGGCATGGCATATGATGATATTCTGCGATGTAAGGCCACCTAAGTCATGGAAGAGTGTGCCCAGATTTTGTTGCAATTTTAAAATCCATTCTTCATGTAACTTCATGTGTCAATCTAATCAAATGGCGAAGTCTTCCCCAGATGGAATGAATGCACTGTTCATCATTTGTTTTGTTCCATAATAAGCAACCTGGGTGAACAGTCTCCACCAAATGTCATTAATTAGACGTGATTACATGTTTCCAGCATAGGGTAGAGTGCCTGAGGGTATTCTCGAGCGTCCTCACACACATCCACATTTTACACATCTTCCTCTCCAGGCTCCATACCTGCTCCGTACATGTCTGCCAGTTTGGCAAACTTGGGACCCCAATCATTGAGGTAATCATAGTCTTGTTCACTGATACTGGAGGATGTATTGAGCGAGCTGAGGGAGCCAGCGTCGCTCCCTTCCCCCTCGTACACAAACTCCCGCACTGCATCGTGAGGCGGTGCATTGTCATCATCATCTGCATCTACTAATCTGTCGTCGATGAAGTTGCCAACATCTGGCGACTCTCCAGGAGCATCTGAAACATTTGTAACAATTGTGGTTCTTTAGTCTGTACATATAAGTAAACAGCAGATCTTTCATTGAGAGTGAAATGAGATAGCATCATGCTGAAGTCATCAATACTGAAACTAAATTACAATGGTCTGGAAAGAATAGTCTGAGCCATTCAAGCCAGTGTTTTATATAATGAGCAACGCTACAGTTATGAGAACATGATGGCACAAACAATCAGCTAGGCCACACACTGATCCTGATCAATAAACACTGTAGGCTATCATATGGAGCTGGGGACCTACTCAGCACTAGAGTTCCTATGGAGATTTTGTGTAGCAAAACCAAATGATGGCAATTGGTATCAATAATTGCAAAACCCACTATCCACCAATGGATAAGGCACTGACAGGTCAATACTTTGGGCTATCAAGCATGACAACCAAACATTCTAATAGCATGTTGAACAACCAAGGGAAGACAACTCACTTCTCCTGGGCATGTCCCTCCTTGGCATTGTGTCAAGTGGGGGCTTGTGGAGAGATTCCGCATCTGGCTTCCGGAGTCGGTGGATGTCGTAAGCATCATGGTCTTCCTCTCCTGAAAGAAAGATCCAAAAGGTCACAAAGACGTCCGAAAACCCATATGGCTGAAACACAGTGATCACCATACGTAGGAAACAAATCTGGGAGGAGAGGGGAGTTAAAATCAATACATCTGCTGTAGGCGTAGTGCTCATACCTGCTCCCTCTTCGTCATAGTTGATGACGTTTTCACGGATGTCGTCTTCAGGATCCACCTCCAGGATGTACTTGTCATCGGGGCTGGGTCGTCGTCCGCACTTCACCAACAGAATGATTGCCACTGCCAACACTGAAATAATTCCAAAAAATAACCCCTTTATGAGAGTCTTTATAGGTCCTTAGAAGTGGGATTATTGTCATTATTATTATGGATAACAACTTCTTACATACACAATGTTTCAGGGCTACATCTTGCCCCTTCATCAGCTACATGATGAAGGGGCAAGAACCTCCTCCATGATGAGTGAGCGAGTGAGTGAGTATGGTTTTTACGCCGTTTTACGCCGCTTTAAGCAATATTCCAGCAATATCACGTCAGGGGAAACCAGAAATGGGCTTCACACATTGTACCCATGTCGGGAACGGAACCCGGGTCTTCGGCGTGACAAGCGAACGCTTTAACCACTAGGCTACCCGACCGCCCCTCTTCCATGATGAGGAACCTGACACAGCTGACTGAGTGGGGCCAAGTTGTTCCATAACGCCACAACAGGCACCACTTGAGGTGACCAATGCACTGGGTGGCGGATTAGATGAGACACAAATCAATGCAGTCAGCAATGTTGCAGCTGTTTCAAGGCGGTCTGGAAATGGAGATAGGGCCAGGCAAACAAGTGGCAGACTGCAGAGGACTCCGACATGTTGATACACAATCAGCACTGTCACACATAGTGGCCATCTGATCGTCCTGAATCAATTAGCTGGCTAACTTTGGACCTGATCTACTCATAACTGAGTCCACTGAAATTGAGTGAGTGAGTATGGTTTTACGCCTTTAGCAATATCACGGCGGGGGACACCAGATATCCATTGAAATTGTATGTGCACTAGTGCAAATATCACTTTTCGAGCACCAGTGAATTGTTTCTGTCATCCGGACGGCATTGTTGAAGTCATTTGAATCTTATTGTGACGGAAGGACGGAATGACGTCACACTAGAAATGATGTCATAGCTGAAGTTTGTTCACGTCATTCGACAAATTGTGTTTTTCTAGGACGTTGGTGGTGATCATTTTTGTAAAGGGGAGCTCAAAAGGATTCAGAAATAATGAGTAATAAAGAAATTATTACACTCACATGTGTGCCACGTAAGAATACATGTATGACCTTCGCTCTCGCTCAGGAAATACAAGAATTCTGACTCTCATTTGTAAAACCAGTACAAACATGCTTTATATATATATAGACACAGACACACACACAAGTGGGTAGAGATACAACCACTCTCTAACTACAGACAATAATATAGATTTGATCATGACATTTTCCAAATCTTTCTTTTGCATAAGTAGTTACTCACCAAGCAGGACGAAGATGGAAACAATAATTGCAACAATGGCGCCTGTGGTGATTCCTGCGAGGAGTCCCGCGGGGCGGACCTGGTCGCAGTATTCATTCACCCAATCAGGGGGACAAACACACACATAGTTCTTCTCTTCCGACAGGTCTTCCTGACAGGTTGAACCATTAAAACATCGGTGATTTGCACAGTAGTTGATGCGCTGGCATTCGCCAGCAATCTCCTCGAAGTGTTCAGGGCATCTGTGGAAATAGATTGCAACTGATGTACTAGTCATACCAGGACTGTGTACAGGGCGAGCTGATGTACTAGTCATACCAGGACTGTGTACAGGGCGAGCTGATGTACTAGTCATACCAGGACTGTGTACAGGGCGAGCTGATGTACTAGTCATACCAGGACTGTGTACAGGGCGAGCTGATGTACTAGTCATACTAGGACTGTGTACAGGGCGAGCTGATGTACTAGTCATACCAGGACTGTGTACAGGGCTAGCTGATGTACTAGTCATACCAGGACTGTGTACAGGGCGAGCTGATGTACTAGTCATACCAGGACTGTGTACAGGGCTAGCTGATGTACTAGTCATACCAGGACTGTGTCCAGGGCGAGCTGATGTACTAGTCATACCAGGACTGTGTACAGGGCGAGCTGATGTAACGCCATGTTAATCAAGCTTTCTACAAACAATGCTAGTTTGAGATGCAATGGCATAAATTGACAGTCTTACAGCATGAGATATAATGTTACATGTCAAGCTACTATATTATAGCATGATTCATTTACAGTATTAATAACATGAGCTACAATGTTATTTTATTCAAGTACAGGGACCATTTGAAGTCAGTTTGAAACGTGGGACATTTGTTATCATTTACTGTATTTACTTGAGTATAGTGCACACTTTTTTTTCACAACATGAAGCAGCAGAGAGGGGGGTGCGCATTATACACGCCACCATAAGATTTTAGGGTTTTTACATCCAGCATGCATACTGGAAATCGAGTGTCAGCAACCAGAATAAAATACCAATACATTTGTCTGTCCTATTTTTATATTTCAGATAAAATAGTAATTGCATGAACACTATTACATTAAATGAACATGGAATACTGTAATATGCATGGTTACACACATATATTTATTTATATCATTCCAATATAGGTTAAAAAAGTCATTAAAACATGTCATTTTAGATGAAATCCTGTGTGAGGCAATTCCAACGGCGCACCGCTATTTACAGCTACACCAACTCGACTGACGCCATCCGCGACTTGTTGACAAAGAACAAATAAAGATATGTTATATCCAATGTCGACCCACAAGAAGTCAAAATTGTTGTTATTTGTTCTGTTATAACCAATGTTTTGATTTTTTTCATTGTGGTAGCATGGGTTTACCACGTGACTCAGTTCAAGTCACTGACTGGTCTGACTGGTGCTTAGTAAAACCCACCCCATACCCCGGGAATAGCCTGTGACATTATACTGCAGTAAAGACAAAATAATACCAATACTGTTGTAAAGTAATTTATTTTTCAGACAAGCCATCATTCATTTCATTTATCATCATACATTCCAGTCATCACATCACATATATCCTTTAAACACATTCATGCGTACATTATTCACTACTGTCTCCTCGGTTCACTATACTGTTTAATGTTCACTACGTATATACAGCTATGTCATGGTTGAAACCAAGGAAGTCACTGTCTGTGTCATTGTTGAAGATGTTGTCCAAGAGGGTGTCATGAACATATCAGCAAAGTACATTTCCCTGGCGTGTTCTTCGCCGTCTGCGAGTAACTTCCCTTTTGCAACTTGTCTAATTCATATAGGATATTATCATCAGTTTCATTCAAAGCATTTGATATGCGGCACTCCTTGAAGGAACGGCTGACCATATCCTCTGGAATTTCATTCCAAGCTTTAAGTATCCATGTAACACATTCTCCGGAGTTCGGGATAACGTATGCAGATAGTTGCTGCTGTGGTCTGCTGCACTTCCACTGGTTCCATTTTGATTGTAGAAGGGACTTAAAAGGGCTTGTTCAACGAGACGTCCAGTGGCTGTAGATTGCTAAATCTGTCTTTATTGTTTCTAGCTGTCTCTTCACTGATGGCAGGCGATGGCATCGGAATGTGTCTAACACCAGTAAACTTTTCCCTTTAAGCAGGCGACCAGGTCTCCTCTCCCGCAGTTCATATACAGTCTTCCATCATGTCTCCATCAAACCAGTCCTTTTCAAGCGTGCAGACTTCGACCCCTTTCGGAAACAGCTCGCTCTTTGAATACCACCTTGGGCAACAACTTGTTGCTGTTTCCTATGACAGCCAGCATCACTGTGAAGCTTTTTCTTTGGTTCCACAAAGTTCTAATTGTGACTGTCTTTTGTAATTTAAATCTGACTATCTTTCCGAAAGTCGAAGGTGACTGGAGTCTTGCCTGCGTTTCTGATCTGGGCGTGGCTGTAATTCTGTCTTTCACGTGACTTGATAACAAACCGATGAAACTCTTTAACTTGTCCTTGAGCGATGTGCGTCTTTCTTCTGATGGACAACTCATGACGCCATGGTTAAGAATAACAATAAATAAAATTTCAGTTTTAAATACCTGTATGTGTTTTTTTTTACAAATCTACTCATACTTTCCGGATAATCCACCGAGAGGAAGCCAAAATTTGAGTAAGAACTTGTCATAGTACAATTGAATGGATTACTTAGGTCTTTTTGTTTAAAATAACTTCAAACGGTGCTTTTCTTAATTTCCCGATAATGGACTCATCTTTAATTGATATGAAAAACAATTGACAGTCACTTCAATTGATATGTTTATAACTAGGGGGCATTTTTAACTGATCACCGGTTTTAAGTGGAGGTTGCTTCTCCTGAGTTCTGGGCCATTGTTTATGTGGGAGGTAAGCACTAAGTTCATGGTGTCAATTTGGATCTATTAACAACATAATGTACATCCAAAAGCATATTTATTCAACCCGGGCAGTTGCCTTTATTCATGCAATGGCACAATGTACACATGAGAACGATGTTTCTCAGCGACAGTTGATACCATGACTGCACCTGAAACAAGTCAAAAATATTTGACTACACATACCAGTTGAAATTTTTTTTTCTTCGCCAAAATATTGCATCTCCTAGAGGAGTGGTGTGCATTATGCTCGGGTGGGCACTATACTTTCTGCTCCTGATTTCAACTGTCACTAGTGGTTTGTACAGGAGTTCACAAACTGGACAAGCTTGCATTACTCAAACATTCACATTACAGCTTGAACAATCCTGAGCACTCTGGTCTTCCTTATTCACAAGATGCATAGACTCCTTCTCCTGAGCTAGGCTACCTGCCAGGGCCAGCTCTGTTGGTGGTTACAAGATGCGGATTAGCCAGCTAGACACTATCACACAGCCCAGAACTGTTTTAAACCTTAATTTACAGTGTTTTGGGGGCAATATCCTGGTCAGTAAGTGAATATAAAATTAAAAAGATATTTCAGATTTTCAAGACGTTATTAGAATATGTTTCCAAGTGTGCAGTGTCAATGAAACAGGTTCTGGCAGTTTGGGTGTAATGTATAAAACATTCTTTGGTGGTGTTTATTAGTGACAATGAAAGTTTGCAGTCAGTGGTATAACAAACAGTGCTTCGGACATGTCCCCATTCCACTCCTTCTATTTTAGGGTCAGATCCAAAAACCATTTTGGAAAACCATCTAATTGTGACTACGCCTACCTGCACTCGTAGTGTCCCCAGAGTGGGTAGCAGACTCGTTCCGGGGGGCAGGTGTGGCCTATACAATCTGTTCGTACACAGCCGTCCTTGACATGGCTGACCTTCTGAATCTCAGCAGCATTGCTGAGGATCTGCTCTGACACTTCCATGGGGAACCATTCGTGGTTGAGACGGATATCTTGCAGGCAGGCTGGAACAAAGAACATAACACCATCAGGATCTACAGGGACACACCATCAGGATCTACAGGGAAACACCATCAGGATCTACAGGGAAACACCATCATCTACAGGGAAACACCATCAGGATCTACAGGGAAACACCATCAGGATCTACAGGGAAAACACTATCAGGATCTACAGGGAAACACCATCAGGATCTACAGGGAAAACACTATCAGGATCTACAGGGAAAACACCATCAGGATCTACAGGGGAAACACCATCAGGATCTACAGGGAAACACCATCAGGATCTACAGGGAAAACACTATCAGGATCTACAGGGAAACACCATCAGGATCTACAGGGAAAACACTATCAGGATCTACAGGGAAAACACCATCAGGATCTACAGGGACACACCATCAGGATCTACAGAGAAACATTCCACTTTCCTGTCTTAATTCTGTCATTGTATCATTTCCTGCTATTTGCTTTCAATGTACTCACAGCAAATTTGTATCTTGTATGATCATGTTTACATCAGTAAAAGCAAGTAAAATACGCTTTGTATGTTGATGGTTTCTATCTAATCCTTTCCTGCTTATTATCATTGTGCTCATGATCAGGTCAAATACTACAATCAGAACTAAATTCTTCATGTCTTAGTTCTGAAGTTTACATCTTGTAGGAATCAGCTCCATAGCTTTATCCCCAAAGAATAGTCGTTGGTTTGTGTTATTCCATTTACGCGTGACATGGTTCCTTGAGGTTATCAGCTAAATTCCACACCGTGGTGATGAAAAACGACTTACTGTCTTCCAGATCTGACGCCAGGACGGGAAGGCTGTTGGAGAATGACACGATGGCACCAGCAAACATCATGTTGTGCATGTGGAGTTCCTGCTTGTCGTCAGGGAAGCCATATGTGAAGTTGTAGTTGGCACCTTCCATGTTGTCCATCTTCAGGACAAACTCGCGGCCATTACGCTCCACTTGGGCAGTATGCCACTGCCCGTTACTCACAAAGCGTCTGGACAACTCCAGGTTACGAATACCATTGCCCATATTGTAGGTCAGGGTCAGTATTCCATCCACAATCTGGAACAATTGCAAGCATGTTTAAGTGTTTAAGTACATGTGCAACACAACAGGAAGAATGAAATCATCATATACATAATCATAACTTCAAAACTGAACAAGTTTTCTGGAAAATTGTAGTCTTGGATTGTCATTTTTGGGTACAAAAGGCCAGAAACATTTTATGAACAAGGACTTGAAGGACTTGTATCAAACCATTAAATGTGTCAGGTAAGTTCCATTCTTAGTTGTTATGTTCCATTTACTGATACTGTTTGTTTGCATGCCATAGTGATCTGATGGCTGCCTATCAACAATCATTTTTGGGCCAAACAATCCAGTGACTGGTATCATGAGCCACAACTCACTGAAAGGGGGACCCCTGAACTATGTTGACTCTTTCAACAAGAATATGTTGCTGGAGCCCAAATCTAAACACGAATCTCCAAGGATGTCCATTTACTGAACCAACAAGCTATCCTTCAGAATAGTTGTGCTGTGCCATTACTATAACAGAGCTGTTCATATCGTCAGTGAAACAATTCCTTTCACTATTTTACATGCAGACTGACTTACCTGTAGTGTGGTCACCATGTTGCCCGAGGAAGTGGAGATGGTCCAAAGAACTCCGTCTCTGTCCCGAGTCCGGAACAGTATCTGCATCTTCATCACCCGAGAACTGACATTATTGAAGAACTGGTCTTTGAGGCGGTACTGTATGAAGCTGTTCTGCTCTAAATCTTTAATAGTTGCAACTGTGAAAGAAAATTTACATTAGTGAAAGGTTCAAATTACTCTCAACACATTATATCATGAGTTAGTTTTCTTCCGTCTCCCACTGGTGCCCCATATAGCCCGTCTCCCACTGGTGCCCCATATAGCCCGTCTCCCACTGGTGCCCCATATATCCCGTCTCCCACTGGTGCCCCATATATCTTGTCTCCCACTGGTGCCCCATATATCCCGTCTCCCACTGGTGCCCCATATATCCTGTCTCCCACTGGTGCCCCATATATCTTGTCTCCAAATGGTGCCCCATATAGCCCGTCTCCCACTGGTGCCCCATATAGCCCGTCTCCCACTGGTGCCCCATATAGCCCGTCTCCCACTGGTGCCCCATATGCCCGTCTCCCACTGGTGCCCCATATAGCCCGTCTCCCACTGGTGCCCCATATATCCTGTCTCCCACTGGTGCCCCATATAGCCCGTCTCCAAATGGTGCCCCATATAGCCCGTCTCCCACTGGTGCCCCATATGCCTGTCTCCCACTGGTGCCCCATATATCCAGTCTCCCTCTGGTGCCCAATATATCCTGTCTCACACTGGTGCCCCATATATCCCGTCTCCCACTGGTGCCCGATATATCCTGTCTCCCACTGGTGCCCCATATAGCCCGTCTCCAAATGGTGCCCCATATAGCCCGTCTCCCACTGGTGCCCGTCTCCCACTGGTGTCCCATATATCCAGTCTCTCACTGGTGCCCAATATATCCTGTCTCACACTGGTGCCCCATATATCCCGTCTCCCACTGGTGCCCCATATATCCTGTCTCACACCTGTGTACCATATATCTTTTGCCTTATATTTCCTGGTTTACAAAGCAGATCGTACCTCTCTCACACTTGTTCCCGAACCAGCCAGGCTTGCAGATGCAAATGGTGGTATCGGGCTGCCAGGTGGACTCGCAGATGCCGTTTTCACCACACTTGGGGCCGTTGATGCTGTTCTCGTCACAGATGACGTCTTCCCGCCTGCATGTGTTTTCCCCTGCTGGGTACCCTGGGTTGCCAGGGACTGTCAGATCGTAGAGCTGCAAAATGACATAGTGAGTGAGTGAGAGAGCAGGCTTAATGCTCTATCAACGAAAGTTCAATTATTAATCATAACATATCGGCATAATGTGGGATAAAGTCCGAAACTGATGAAGGTAGTGGATGACAACCACATGAGCGAGTATGGTTTTACGCGGCTTTAAGCAATATTCCAGCAATATCACAGTGGGGGACACCAAAAATGTGCTTCACACATTGTACCCATGTCGGGAATCGAACCCGGGTCTTCGGCATGACGAGCGAATGCTTTAACCGCCCTGAGTACATGAGTACAAGTATGATGCTTACAAGTGCAGGTTAGTAGTTAACCTACACTGCCATCAAAATATCTTTAAGAAAACCCACCTTATATGCACTTAAAAACAGAAATATTGTAAACATTTTCAGGATGTGAAAGGTCATGACTTTAAACCTCAACCATGATCAAATGCAATAAATATTCTGAAAGACATTATGAAGCATTTGGCCACTCACCCTGCTGTTGTGCATCAGGTTCTTGACACAGCCATTGAACTTGGTGGGCATTATTCCAGTGGGCTTATTGGGGGTGGAGTACCGGCCTCCAAGCTGCAGCAGTGTGTTGACATTCAGGTAGACATTTTCCCCTGGGGTGGTGCCCGTTGCACGACACATCTTGTCATCGGAGACTGTACCACCAGGTTCTAATGTAGCTCTTTCACAGTGATCAACGATCATCTCAACTTGCTGAAAGTATACAACAAACATATAACACAGGAGAAAAAACATGGGGAAAGAAAATATAAAAAAAAATAAAAGTTAGTTTCATGTACATGAAATATTTCTTGATACAGATCCATCTCATCGTGTAAAAAGTTCCCAAAGATCTTAAAACTGTAAAAACCTAAATAGACATTTCAAGTAAGCAAGGTACATACCTGCCCATTGCGGACAATGTCAATCCTGTGCCACTTTCCATCACTGAGTTTCTGCATCTTGGCAATACCGTGAGCATCTCGGCCATCCACATAGAGTTCCAGAGTACCAGATCCATGGTCAATCCTGAGTCTCGGGTAGCCTCCACTGAGTTCCAGGGAGATGAAATCTGTTGGGTCATCTGAGCCAGGTGCAAAGTCATCCACAGGTCCATTGTACATGATGAGTCCGTCCTCTTGCAGCGTGATGATGTGGAGACTGGTGCGTCCGAACTCACACTGTTCCAGAGGGTCATACAGGGCGTAGTTGCCGCCGTCGAACGAGTGATGAGTTCCCTGACAGCGGGGGCCGTTGGAACCAGGGAGACAGCTACACCTGGAAGGAAAGATCAATGGGTGAGTGAGTGAGTGAGTGAGTTGTGTTTAACACCGCTTTGAATCTATTTCAGCTCTATCCAACGTGGCAACTTGATGTGGGAGAAAAGCCCCAAGTGATGCAGGTCTTTGGGGGAGAGCCACAGGCACAAACCTAGAAACATAATCAGGCTGATCCAGACTTGAACTCGTGAGCAAGTAAATAGGTTAACTCAGTAGAAAGTGCTATCTACGTCATATGATTGGGTGTCAAGGTGCAAGAAGAAGCTTGCTAAGATTCTTATTGTTTCAGAGAAAATGGGACTGTTTAGAAAAGATGGATGACAGACAATGTGCTAAAAATGTGCTAAGTATTTTATCTTCATAGATCAACTGAAACATGGTCTCAAGCATGAAGCAATCTGCTGAATAAATTAATGTATACTTACGAAAGTTCTCCCCAGTCATCTTTATTGCAGGTGCCTCCATTGTAGCAGTAGTCTGGCGTACACTCGTCGCTAGGGGGGTAGAAGTCCGAACGACATCCCTGCGTGGGTTGCACAAACATCTGTACTCCAACAAAGGAGGTGCCGTTGGTGTTGACCATTGCTGGTTTTCCAGTGACGTTCAGGAAGTTGTAGCAGCTTCCTTCAAACCTCTCATCCTTACACTCATCAATGGGAACCTGGTCGACCTCAATACCAACAGTTTTCTGAAGCTGAAAAACAAAATGACTGACAGTTAACATGTAAGTTATAACACTGTAGTCAGTAGCATCCTGGCATAATGACTATTAGGTAGTTCAAGTTATTTTTTCAACAGGACACATTTAACTAATGGACTATCATCATGATCCTACACTTGGAGGGGTATATCTAGGATTCAAAACTAAGTACCCTTGGCAGACAAATTTGGAAAATTGTTAATTAGATCAAAACTTTATTTTTGAAAAGTTCTTATATTCTTAATTTCAGAAGCATCTTAACATTGCATTCAAAACACAATGATGTAACATTAAACCACTTCCCCTTTTTTGTTTTCAGAGAAGTAAAATCATCTTGACTACGCCATCAAATTAGTTGTAAACGTTAAGTGAGAAGAAATGATAGTCTGAACAGGTCTAAACTATGTTTAGTGAGTGAGTGAGTATGGTTTTACGCCGCTTTTAGCAATATATCAGCAATATCACGGCGGGGGACACCAGAAATGGGCTTCACACATTGTACCCATGTCGGGAATCGAACCCGGGTCTTCGGCGTGACAAGCCAACGCTTTAACCACTAGGCTACCCAACCACCCCTAAAACTATGTTTAGAGTCTTACCGAATCCTTATTGACCGCCAGAACAGCGTTCATCTTGCTGGCTGGATAGTACGGCGAGCCATGAGCAGAGAATCGGACATCAGTGAATTCTCCATTGTTCTGGACGCTGAGAACATCCACATTTTCCTTGGGAACAGCAATCTTGTCAGCAATGAAGGCCTGGAACTTGTCGTACATGCTTGGGTCGTAGTCACTGATGCCACCATTGGGTTTCTTTGGTCTAGCCACGAAGTCTTCTGCTGTTATACCTGAAATAGACCAATGATATTAGTACTACAACTAGGAACGACAGGTCGTTGGTGCCTCTGTTACAAGCCAAAATCGGCAATATGTAGCTACAGGTCTGTAGAACTCCATTGTTAATATAATGAATTTCATTGCGTTAATAGAATCAGAAAAGTACTGGTAAATTAATACAGCTTTACAAAACTAAGTCCGTCACTTGACGGAAGTTTTATAATCTCAGTCTGCACATAGCTCCAAGAAATACATGCTGTCGATCAGCAACACTCAGACACATGAACAAGTTCTGGCTATGAAGATGTCCTACCTCGGAGTCGTACTGATCCAGAGCTGAAAACGGCTTCCTCTGAGATGTCCCGGATCATGACAGAAACAGTGGACTGCACGGTTTTCTGCCACACCTTGTCATACACATCCACCGTGAACGAGTAGGGATTGTCGCCGGGAACCCCCTTGGCCATGGTGATCATGCCCGTATCAACATTCACCCTGAATAAAGCAAAGACATGAGTATCACTACGTTTAGCTGGTAGACAGTGTGTGACTAAATATCCCTGTGACATGCAACAATCCAAGATTGAAACAAAGTGAATGTACCGAGATAATGAAAGTGTCCCATTCCAATGATTACATTGGACTCCAACCATACATCAACTAACTACTGCTGTCCACAAGCATTTTCCTGTATTCCTAACATTTCTAGCGTATCATGGAATGATTGTATCAGCTTCAAGAACGCATCTGTTATAATCGTTTAAAATGAAATGCCAACATGCCCTAATGCTACCAGTCGACAGTCACCCTGTTTAAATCTTAATAACCGATTCCAACTCACGAGAAATATTTCTTCATGTACTCTGGGCCGGTGTACTTGAAGGTCTTGTCCACAACATCCCAGTCGTCCGGGTCAGTGGCGTACACGTTACCGATTTCAAGAGGGCCAAACATACCTGAAACACCAAGTGAAACAAACCCATGCACTGACTGGGGATGCAGGTCTCCGACATTTGCTACTTCCATCGACCAACAAGCACAGGGATGGATCGGACAAACCATGGATTTGCAAAGCATGTGTACCACCAACTCTCTTCCTGTTTTTTATCAAGGTCCCCACGGGGTTTGATGCACTTCGCGATATAGACTTTGATTATCGATGAGATCTTCTTGACTATTTGAGTGAGTGAGTGAGTATGGTTTTATGCCGCTTTCAGCAATATTCCAGCAATATCACGGCGGGCTTTACTATTTGAAGCAAATGCAAGTGATATTAGAGGTGGAATGTGATTGGTCAATAGGAGGGACATAGTATGAACATAGTCACTGCTGGCGCTACAATCGAGCCCAGAAATTCCAGCCTAGTTCGGCAAGGGTGAAAACTGGACTTTTATAGTCAGTTAAGTCCCTCAGGAAGATGAAGAAACAAAACTCTGGCACATTTGATGACTGGGCCACCCATGACCTTGTGTAACACAGACCCAACATCATCATGACATACTGAGGGATATTCAGTCCCATCTGCAGCAAATGTCAGTAGAGAGTCTACAATTGTAATGAATTTGTTTTAAATATATATATGCTATTGCAGTAAACTATGGCTATAACAAACTCAAAGGGACCAAAACAATTCAATATATCCTCAGTTTGTTATAAGCGTGTTTGTTATAAGCATTCTTTACTCTACAGCAATTTGATTGTATTTGACTGATAACAGGACCATGCACGAGGACGAGGCCTTAATTTTTAGTAAATACATTATTGCACTGAATGCAATGTCAAAATACTATATTAAAATACCTCTGAATTTAGGGAATAATTCTTTTTATTTCAGATCTTAATTTTGAATTAGATAACATTTATTCCCCAATTTGTCTTTCATGGGGACTTAGTTGGAATTCTACACTTCCCGATATACACTTTGATTTGATTAACATACATCACTTGAGAAGTCTTCATCCATGTCTTTCACCTTCTTCACAGGCATTGTGACTTCCCATACACACTCCAAACATTCAATAATATGTAACTTCTTGGTCATAATATATTACATTTTAATAACCACAGCAGCACACAATACTAGCAATTGGTCTTTATTTGAGGGAGTAGTACTTTCTTGTAGCCTACCCTTGTAGTTGTAGACGAAGATATCCTTGTGTCCTGGGCTGTGCACATTGTCGTTGAGGTCACCAATCTCTATGGTGAGTGTGTTGGTTCCCGTTTGAGCCCGAGGATCTCCGGAACCACGCATGTCCCACATGACAATAGGCATGTAGTAAAACTTCTGCTGTTCACGGTCAAACACTTTTTTAGTGGAGATGCCTGCATTGCCTTTTTTATTGTCACCATCTGAAAATAAATAAATAAATGTTTAATTGTTACGTTTTCAGACATGGAGAGGTACTACTACGACTACTACTACTACAACCACTACTACTTCTACTGGCGAGTTGGTAGGCAGGCGGTTGAATGGCAGAAACGAAATGACAGACGGATAGATAGACGAGGTGTCGACTATACCCCCTTCCCCCTCTCTGATTATCTCCCGGTTGTACCAAACATTATACTTGACTGTTTGGTTGGGAGAGTTTGGGGTCAAGACAGAATAACCTAAAAAGAAAACTTTACTGTACCTGGATTGAATACAAGACTGAAGTCTGTACAGGTAGGTTTGCTACTACAAGGGCAGCTATTGCTTCCATCAGAACATGTAGGCTCGGAAAATCCAAATGGATCGCCAAATGGAAAAGCATCCAAATCCGTGGCGTTGACGATGATAACTAGTTCCGGTACAACAGCTGCATTCTCCATCACAATGGGGTGATAAGGCTTGGCGAAGATGGGGAAGTTGTCATTGACATCTTTGACCGTCACCTCCAGAGTGCCTGTACCTGTCTGTGCAGGATCACCTGGGATGCGAAATACATACAAGGTTCGTCAGGTGTTCAATAACTAAAGGCATTTGCATTAAGTAAGGACTCCCATCAGGCTTCAAGAATATGTTTAAGTCACCAGGCCCCACATTCCACAAAGCGATCTTAGAGTTAAGACTATCGTAAGTCTAAGTTACAATCGCTTTGTGCAACAGGGCCCTGGTTATGCAGCTAGACGAAGCTTCACATTTCTGTGTTCTTATATTCAAAATTTCTAATTCTTATTGCAAGCAGCCTTCCCTTAAATTCCATTGGTAAGGATAAAATACAAACAGGTACCCCTTAGGAAACTGTCTACCTTTATCAATGGCCAATATGTGGACTTTGTGATGACTTTCTGTCTCGCGGTCCAACATGTTTCTGATTGTCACGTTCCCCAACTGGTCAATGCTGAAGAGTTTGTTTGGATCCGTCTTACGGTCCACCGAGTACCTGTGATGTAGAAGGTAGTGAGTACAGAAACAACACAACACAAGTACAGGGCTTTACAACACCTTAACAACAAGACAGCTCACAACATATGTACAACACGGGACACCGACGTGAAACTGATGGAGTGATACACTGAGTTTTGTCGTGCTTTGAATCATTTCCGTGACATCCTATAGTGTGTCATCTTATAAGGGGGGATGATTGGGAGAAGGGGTGGGGTGGGGTGGGGTGGGGTGGGGTGGGGTGGGGTGGAGGAGGGGAGGGGAGAAGGGGAGGGGAGAAGGGGAGGGGAAGGGGGAGGAGCCATATATATGGAACTTTCACCAGGAATGGTATCTCTCATCCTGTTGATATGGAAATATTTATGTTTCGAAAACTCACTCAAAATCAGCGTTGATTCCACTATCTTTATCATCAGCTGAGAAGTGAGCGAGGAATGTTCCCACAGCAGCATCTTCAAACTGTTCCACAGCAATCCTGGGGCGTTCAAACTCAGGCTCGTTGTCATTGAAGTCCTCTACAGTCACCTCCACGTGGGTTGTGGCTGTGTGGCTTGGATCAGGGTCTTGGACCACCACCGTCAGGTTGAAGAAACGCTGGTCTGGATTCTCGTAGTCCACAGCCTGAGGGGGCAAAAGCCTTATGTTAGAATAGCAGCATGGCGTACAGTGTGTGAATGGTGTAATCTGCAGCAAGCAGCCTGAACCAAATATCCCAGCACTCACATTCCAGTCTGTGCCCTTGGAGTCTACTAGTTCTGGAATCTTTCATTGGCAAACAGACTTTTAATCGACTTCTGCTTTAGACTCGTGGCTAAAGTCATGGGTAGTCATTCATGGTTATTACAGAAGGTGTCTCAAAATTCAAGATCTTCAAGGCTCTCTCCCGAACATATCAAGGCCAAGTTACTTGACATTTACCCTTCTTTGCACAATGCTTTGTTTGTTTGTTATTCCAGCTATATGACAGCAGTCTGTAATTAATCGAGTGTGGACCCGACAATCCAGTGATTGACATCCTGAGCATCGATCTACACAACTGGGTCATGATGACATTGAGCCTGACCTCTCGATCCGTTGGTCGCCTCTTACGACAAGCATGGGTTGCTGAAGACCTATTCTACCCTCAAATTGGCGTAAAACCCAACTATAACTATAAGGGTAGGCTCCCATGCACAATGCAATAGTATTGGTTTTGGTACACCAGACTACAATCTGACACCTCTATTAACCTGTATTACCCCAACGAATGAAATAAAGCAATATGTTTTTGTTTTGTGCTTTGTCATAAAGACCTGTAACACCAAGGATTGAGATATCATGAGCAACATCTCACTCAGGTGACAATGAAATGCAATCCATCAAGTCTGACCAACCAAGCGCCTAACTTGCCTCTTAGATCAAGCATAGGCTACGAGGTATTCATTCTGTCCTTGAGTACATACCCTGAATACAACAATGCTGCCCTCATTATTCACACCCTCCACATCAAAGAAAGAAATGAAGTTGTTCAATCTGTAGTCGAGACGAGCATTTTCTCCAATATCATTGTCTGTAGCTCGCACTCGGGCAATTGCCCCCGACGTCTGTGCCTCCGACATCGTCACCTTGTAGAGAGGCTTCTCAAACACTGGGACCTGGTCGTTCTTGTCGTCCAAGTTGATGATCACTTGTTTCTCTGTTGACTGAGGTACCACTCCCCGGTCGGAGGCCTTCACCTTGACCGTGTACGTTGGCGTGGTTTCTCTGTCCAGGCCAGATGAGTTGGTGCTGGTTTCAATCAGACCTGAGCTTTCTCGGATCTGGAACTTCATGTCCGATCCATCTGATGGCCCCTCAACAATTTCGTATTTAACAGTCCCGTTGATGCCCTCATCATAATCAATGGCCACCACAGTCATGACAGAGCTCCCTGAAATCACATGAAGAACCAACTATGAGATACGAACTACACTTTGCCCATATTTGTGTCCTACTTCAGTCTGTTAAAAACACAGTAGATATGTCAGGTTATTTTTCTCAGACAAGACAGTAATTTTCCTTATGTTAGTGAAAGCCTGCTTTCAAATGAAGACAGTGTTGTTTGTTTGTTGTTGTTTAACGCCGCACTCAGCAATATTCCAGCTATATGACGGCAGTCTGTAAAAAATCGAGTCTGGACCAGACAATCAATCCGGTGATTAATATCATGAGCATCGATCCATGCAATTGGGATCTATAACATGCATCAACCAAGTCAGCGAGCCTGACCACCTGATCCCATTAGTCGCCTCTTACAACAAGCATAGTCACCTTTTACGGCAAGCATGGGTTGCAGAAGACCTATTCTACCCCGGCTCTTCACGGGTCGTAATGAAGCGCAACACATCAATGCTGGTGGAATTAACTGGGACAGCCATGTAAGGTATAGTGCAATTTGAGAACGACAGGGGGATGGGTGGCCTAGATATCTGAACATTGGCATCCCTTGGGCACTATGAAAGCTATGATTGTGGACTCTATGATTCGAATCCCAGTTCGCCCCAATCATGTTTCTAGGTTGTCAGCACCATACCCATGCTCATGGGTTTCATCAAAGTGGTAAATGTCTAAGACCCGCATCACATTGGCTTTCCTCCCACATTAGGCCGACATGCCATGATATAACTGGAATACTGATCAAATTGGCGTAAAACCCAACTCACTCATTCAGAAAACAGGTATAGGATCAGGGGCTTATGATAAGTGTCACCTGGGACACCGAAAACACACCTATTTGTCCTTTGGCCTTAACAGTAAATGACACTGTTCCTTATGCCATCTTCTGCATTAATAGCCCCACCTCCCAACATGTCACCTACCTCGTGCTGAGTGCTCCATTACACTTCCCTCTAATTTGGAGATGAAAATTGGCTTGTTATCATTGATGTCAATTGGCTTTACTTGAACAGACGCAAATCCTATCTGAGGTCGGTCAAGGTCAGCTGAGCCAGGTGAAGGGTCAGGTTCGTCCTGGGCACGGATGTTGAACTGGTAGTTTGGTCTCCCACTGGGCAGATCTCTGTCCAAGCTGGTCAGAAGGTACAGACGGCCAGTGTCAGGTTCAATTTCGAAGTACTTGTTGGGTGGGGAAGTCCCAAACCCAAGCAGTGAGTAACGGATTTGGGTCGGTCGATCAATGTCTGCATCCGTGGCATTAACCTTGAAAAACGATGGTCAAAAGTGAGTTAACTGGAGACATGACAAATTTCATCTTCAATACAGCACGGGTTTGTATTCACTAAGCAATAGGTACAGCAGGTACCACAAGGCTATGCCACCTGATGTCAAGCAAGAAACTTTGCCATGTGTGTGATGTAACCTAAGTGCTCCAATGTTTTCCTCTTGCTGGAACCAGATAGGTGCTCGATCATTGGATAAAAATAGCTACTACACTACAAAGTGTCCCTTTATACGGACACAATGAAAAGCATAATCATGTTTTCAAGGATTACACATAGAGTGTTTGTTGCTCAAATACATCTTGAAATATCGAATGAGATTTAAACCTGAATTACGACATTGTTGTTTTTGATTACCTCATACCAAAATATACAGAACATAATCTGATTTTTGTGGCCATTTTGCCAAATTTTACACAAAATTTAAAATGCGTTTTGAAAATGTTTCAGTATATATTCATGGGTGATGGGGGACCTGTCAGCCCAGATGACACATGCCTGCTTCCAGAGTCGGGGAATGAGGACACACCAAACAACCTGTACCTCAGCTAGATACCATCTGCTTCTACTTGCCACTGAGGGTACAGCAAATACAACACACATCCACACCTGCTTATAGCCTCACTTCCAGTACGTGCATTTAGTTTATTGAAGATATTATTGGGTTCGCTCAACATTGTTGGGATTAACATGAGTTTATCTACTATTCGTCTTTCGGCAAATCCTCACTAACCCCCTGATCCATTCCCGTGGTTTTCGCAATCTCAAATTACCCGCCCTTAAATTTTATTTGCCAATTTTATGGGTTCGTGTTTCTAGGTAATACATGTTACCTCCCTTACCCTTTTGCTTCTGTAGACATTTGATTGGTCGGTAATTAGTGATCGCAAGAAACAACCACTGGAATGGATCCAATGGGTTAGTGTAGATTTACCAAATGCTAGCCCGGGAGATATAGAGGATGGACAGAACTGGGAATAAAGGTTATATTCCTCTCATGTGTTGTTGTGTTTATAACATACGATTAGAAGAAACGTTGATTACCATGTAAGCAGAATAACTGTATCATAAGTGACAAACTTTACAATTATCAGCCGGTAATTACAAATACTTCTTTCTTATCAGAATATTGTGATTGGTCTGACCTGCACTAAGAACCTCTTGTTGCTGGCAGTGATGGAGGTATCCTCCTCAACAACATCCAAGATGACATATGGGTCAGTCACGAAGACAGGACTGTTATCATTGGCGTCTGAGACGTGGATATTCACACGAGTGGTGTTGGAGTAAATCCCATCAGATACTTCCAGGGTTAGGTCGTAAAGCTGAAAATACAGTGAGTGAGTAGGTAATAATGTTGCTTTAAACAATATTTAAGTTAGGTCACCACATTGTTAGCTTATGAAGGAGCAAAGCTCAAAGGAACGCAGTATTGCTGTTCAATCTATTTTCATGTATTCCATTAAATTTGCAATTAGAAAGATGTTTGATAAGGCAATAATCCCTCGTAGGTATTTTTCTTTAAAGAAATAAGAACATTCTTTTATGTTATCATCAAACTCACATGTTGTTCTGTTTCATAATCCAGCTGCCTCCCAACATAGATGATCCCTGTCTTACTCCACACACCAAATGCACCCCGCTCATTCCCACCTCGGATTGTGTATGTCAAGACAGCGGCTGTAAACAGACAGTATCATGAGTAACATCACACTAATATCAATCACATAACCATCTGCAGCAGCATCTTCCCAGTGCTGTCAATAAATTTATCTGAAAAAAGTAAGTTAAATTGAACATTGATCCTAATAATATTTTCAAGCAAACTTAAGACACAAAACATTGCTCTTGATACAAAACCATTGTAGCCATGTAACACTTTTTTCAGAATTCAATGAGCACTTGTCAGAGACGCTATAGCTGTGATCCTCCAAGGAAAGTTTATTTTCACTGGCCTTGTCTCAAAGGCAACGTTGAAAATTGGAAACGTTAACAAAAGACTAATGATGGGCATTGTGCCACAACATAAGCTGTTTTTGACTTTCAATGGAGTGAGTGAGTGAGTGAGTGAGTGAGTGAGTGAGTGAGTGAGTGAGTGAGTGAGTGAGTGAGTGAGTGAGTGAGTGAGTGAGTGAGTGAGTGAGTATGGTTTTACGCCGCTTTAAGCAATATTCCAGCAATATCACGGTGGGGGACACCAGAAATGGGCTTCACACATTGTACCCATGTCGGGAATCGAACCCGGGTCTTCGGTGTGACGAGTGAACGCTTTAACCACTAGGCTACCCGACCGCCCCTCAATGGAGTGAGATAGAAATGAGGTTTCTTCAATGTTCGGAAGTTTAATCGACTACTGAAACAAGGAATGGGTGCTGTAGCCTCACCGTCATCAGGATCCCGAGCACTGACACTGAGGACATGTTCCTGCACTGGAGCATCCTCTCTTACAGACGCATTGTAGAAAGACTTCACGAAGTAGGGGCTGTTGTCGTTCATGTCTGTGATACGCACTTGTACTGGGACAACGGCTGAAATACAGAACATCCTTAATTAAACAAATCCTTAATCATCATTCACACCTATCATGTTTTATCAAAAGGCTTTCTACTTACTCCCAAAATGTCAGAATAGATGCAGAAAAGAGCATACTGAAGTCGTCATTTTCCCTTGAGCAGAAGCATCAAATTAGCCTAAAAAATGAGTACTCTTTCAAACTGGTACACTGTAGTTCTGATTTAGCTTTAAGGGAAATGTTTGTTTAACACTGCACTCAGCAATGTTCCAGCTATATGACAACGATCTGTAAATAATCAAGTCTGGGCCGGACAATCCAGTGACAGACATCATGAGCACTGATGTACACAGTTGGGATACAATTTCATGCATCAAGCAAGTCAGCGAGTGAGCACCCGTTCCTGTTCTTACCGTCCTGTTTCCAGGTTTAGGGAGAAATGACCAGTAACAATCACCTGTGTTGGGTTGTCCTGGGGTGTGTCCGGGTCGGGAGGATTCTACACCATCATATACTTTAACATCAACATACAGTTGACTGGTTTCTTCTCGATCAAAACTGGCTCTAGATGTCAGAACAGCGGTGTTATCATCAATCTTGCGGATGGAGAACTTGTCAGAGATATTCACTTTCGGAACAATCTCAAAGGTGAGCTGGAACAAAATATCATCATGTTGAAAAAGAAATTTCCAATAATACTTTGTGGTTACATCAGATGAATGAGGTCTCAAATATTGTAGCAATATCCTAACTTTGCTACCATAAGTTACAGTAAAACAACGGCTTCACGTCAAGGTAAATGGATGTTTTTTTCCAAACTTACAAAATTGTTGGGATACGTTGGATCATCATCATAAGCTTTTATCTCAATGACAGTCTGTCCTGGGGGGGAGTTTTCAGGTATACTTCCAGGGTAGAATCCTGTTGCGGAATCCAAACCTCGGAAATATGGGACCTTGTTGTTGGTATCTCGTAGTTCCACAACGGGATGAATTTCAGATGACAGAGGTATTGATCCACGATTCTGAGGAGGGAAAAAAACGTGTTTCATTTGAAATACACAAGCCATACATTTTCATTGATATACCTAAGTAACTCCAAAATTTTATCACACAAGTCATACATTTTCATTGATATACCTAAGTAACTACAAAGTCTTCTCGTGAGAATCTTTAATCTTAAATCCGTGCACTTAGGCACACATCAGTGTGGACTCTACACGTGGCCATGCTGCACACAGGACGACATGTTACAGTGCCACGGAGTGTCAACATCCCACTATATCACTGCAACTCAACAATACTCTTTAACCACCATTTGTAGGAGATTCTGGAAGGATTCTGTAACGTTATTTCAGCATCCAAGGACACCAAGAGGCACAAGACTTGGGCAAATTGGCTGTCTGTCAAGCTTACTGAGTCATTTTAACACAAACTCAAAACCAAATCAGATCATGTAGATTAATGCAACTGTTATTTTTCTCTAATTATAGAGAGACAGAGTCTACATTCCATGAAAAACACTAACTTGATGTTTAGATATAAAAATTCCTTACTGCAGACAGAAGAGCAGTCTTTCTTTGAACCTCTATATGAAACTCTGGTTATCTTGAAGCAATGACCCCTTTACTCATATATAACAGGAATTCATGTACATCTACTCACAGACACCCGAAGACGAAGCTCATATCGGTTCTTCACGTTGAAATCCATGGTAACGGAAAACACTGTGAGATTGACAACGCCGCCCCCTGAGGTGATGCCGAATGGTGGTAGAGACTGTACTGGGCTGCCATCTGCAGCAATCAAGGAGAAAGACACAGTGGGGTTGTCCACATTTGAAGTGGCACTGAAGGAAGCGATGATGTGGCCCGGAACGGCAGTCTCGTCCACTGTGTAGGGGTTGGTGTCATAGTCATTCCTGTTCCATGTAGGAGGCTGGCTGGTGAGGTCAATGACCCGCACACTTACACTCGCTGTGCTGTTTAAAGGAGGCACGCCTTTGTCCTTTGCCATAACTGTCAGGTCGTATTGCTGTTTCTGAAAATGTCAAAATGGCATTGATGATCATGAACTGAATCAAAGCACTTACGTTTGTTTCATATCCATCTCACCTACACAATAATGATGTTCTGATAAATTGAAATATCGAAGATTGATCGGAAGATCTAAACAACCAAGCTATGGAATGCAGCTTTCCATAATCAAACGCAAAAGATTCTAATCTTGTATTAAGGTAAATTCACTTCTTACTACCCCGTGCATGGAGACGATCTTAACATTGAAAAACAGCAAGAGTATGTTAACCAATTAATTTTGATTCTCGACCAGTTTGGACGACCCAATCATTAACCCTGATTTTACAACAAATGTCCAGCACAAAACATAATAATTTGTTTTGAGGGTTCAGCATTTTGTTCTAGCCAACTTACTATCATCTTCCCAAGCAGTTAATTTTCCCCAAAAAACCTACTGAACATTATTCCTGAAAGAAGTCACCTTCTTGCAGTCAATGAACGAATTAAGTTATATATCAATTTTTGTCACTGACAATGAAAAGGTCTCATTACAAAATACTAAGAATACATGTAATTTTGTGCTAAAAATAGACTATGCCAAAAGCCATGCCCTTCGTACAGGCTGGGTCATGTCTGGATGCCAGATGTAAACAGTTATTTCTTGTGCCGCTTCACATATACATACTGTTCCCAATGTCTTGTTCAGGAAGATGATGCCAGCCTCGGTGTCGATTTTGAAAACACCACCATCGCTGTCCACCATGCTGTATTCAATCTCTGCATTCTCGCCAAGGTCCTCATCATTAGCTCTCACGGTAAGGATAGATCGACCAACATCCATGGTCTGACTGATGGTGGCAGTGTAACTTTGGAGATCAAACACCGGTTTATTGTCATTGATGTCTCCAATGCTGATAGTGAAGGTGCAGTAGCCATCCAGTGGGGGGGTACCTTGGTCAACGCCTCTGATGGTCACAGTATAGGAGGAAATAACTTCACGATCAAACTGTACAGCACTGCGGACGTCTCCTGTGTCTTCATCTATTCTGAAGTTAACTTGGACGTTTGTGGGAGCTCTGAGAATGGAGTACGTGACTCGGCCATTTTCTCCCCTGTCGTTGTCTTCTGCTTGAACCTTGATGTGAATAAGAAAAGTTAAACCATGTATCACTTCTTCATATGGTCAGTGTCCAAAGTGGGTCTTAGGGCACTGGAGGCTTTCTGCCATAGTATTTGACCTGGTCATCCCGAACATTAGGGTTATGACAAGGATCCTTCGTTTCAAACACAATAGCATTTTTATGCAATGGGTGGAGCAATGAGATTACAATTAGTTATTGAAATGAAATCATTTCTGCTTACCCTTGTAACATGTGTATCTTGTGGCTTCGCTTCAAGAATGGTGGCATTATTGTAGGTGGAGCATTGCGGAAATGACGGCTTGTGTGTGTTGATGTCCACGATCTCCACATTCAGGTAGGCTTCGCTGGACAGGATTGGGGAGCCACCACAGCAGCTGCCGTCGTCGTAGGCGGTGATGTTCAACACGTACTCATCCACGTCAGCTGGCACAGTTTGTGACAATGTGATGAGACCAGATGCTGGCAGGATCCTGAAGATCTTGAAGTCTGTCAGTCGCGCTGGAAGGTGAATGAGTGAGTGAGCGAACAAGAACGTATGGAGTGAGTGAGCGAGTATGGTTTTACGCCGCTTTTAGCAATATTCCAGCAATATCACGGCGGGGGACACCAGAAATGGGCTTCAGACATTGTACCCATGTCAGGAATCGAACTCGGGTCTTCAGCGTGACGAGCGAACGCTTTAACCACTAGGCTACCCGACCGCCCCTGAGAACGTAAGGAAATGAACTCAGCATTTGATCACACCTCTTAACACTGAGTATCATAATCAATGGAACCATTTGTGGGTGTAAAATTCTCAAATAGTAGTCAAATGCCATGCTGAACAGAACATGTTACATGATGGTTTCATATATACTACATATATAATGCTACCTTCGAAGTATGCTTCCAAAATAACCTACGTGAGAAGTAGAACTCAACAGAGTCCTTGTCCAAATCAATGGCTTGGATGACAGTGACAGCATCTCCCACTTTGGCATCTTCACGCACATCTTGCTTCTGGTTTCCAAGACTTATCTCTGGTGGTTCATCGTTAACATTGGTCATGAAGACTTGGACGCTGGTCGTGCCAGTGTTTGGAGGTGACCCCTTATCCGTTGCGGTCACAGTGAAGCTGTAAACGTGGCCTGGCAAACGATCGTAGTCCAAGCGTCTAAGGGCAAACAGGAACATGGTGAGTTCAAAATGGCACGTATTTATAGTCAAAGATCTCATGTACATTGCTTTACTTTTGCAGTTCCAGGCCCTCGGTTTGCAAAGCATTCAAAGCACTAATAGTGTCATCTCTATATGTCAAAGCACTACTAGTGTCATCTCTATATGTCAAAGCACTACTAGTGTCATCTCTATATGTCAAAGCACTACTAGTGTCATCTCTATATGTCAAAGCACTACTAGTGTCATCTCTATATGTCAAAGCACTACTAGTGTCATCTCTATATGTCAAAGCACTACTAGTGTCATCTCTATATGTCAAAGCACTACTAGTGTCATCTCTATATGTCAAAGCACTACTAGTGTCATCTCTATATGTCAAAGAATAGGAGTTACTACAGTAGTGATACTATGATTGCCTTGTGACACGGAGCCATGAACAATAACTATTTACACGGAATAACACACAGATATAACTAGAATATTTGCCTCTTGACAATGTTGTACCTATTTTTCTTTCATGTTTCTCATTTTTTCCCTGAGGATTTGATCCAGGGGCTACCTCACCTGACCTATTTGGACATATTGAGGTGAATGCCTAATGGCCATTAGCTTAAATTGCTTGAAGAGATTTCTTATACCACTTGTAACAAGTGTACTCACTTCTTCACTTTGATGATTCCGACGTACTCCATACCACTAACTCCAGGAGTGGTTCTGTTCTCAGTTACCACATAGAAGTTCTCATGACTGATAGAATATGCCACTTCAGCATTGGTTCCTGAATCATCATCGACAGCCTTCACTGGAAACAGAATCAAATCATTTATCTACAATTCAAAACTAAATGCCCTTGGTGGGCAGATTGGAAATAAATTGTTTTGTATAAAAATGTTGTTGTTTTTAAAGTAGTTCCTAATATTTAAACTTCCAAGGTACTTCATTGCCTTCAATGTATTAACATAAAACTTAGCAATGAATTTCTTCCCCCATATAGTGAAATGCAAGTTGCCTATGTTAAGCAATAACATTGAATACTGCAATAACGGACAGTTCTATTCCAACTTGGGACTTCTGACATTTGCTTAAGATTCAGTATTGAATATTGGTCTCTGTACAGGCTTTGAGGTGGTGAAATGGGATTTAACGTTGCTTTCAATATCATTGCACCTATATAGCGACGTGCATGCACTTATGTGCGAATGTGTGTGTGGTGCTGCTTGTACTAGTCTGGACTAATGACGATTTTATAGTTCCAGCCCACAGAGATATCACCCTGCAGTATAACATGAATACTCCATAAAGACACTTTATACTGACTCCGAGCTGAACTGTCCTTGGTTAAGCCCCTTGGTTTAGTACCATCTTTTAACAGTGCCATACGTGTTCAGTCAAGTCAATCAGTGATTATCCAGTGTATCATATCGCCATTCTATCATGTCTATTATGATATCTATACCATGGACCCATTCACCACTTTCAATCTCTCCTATCACTAATTTGGCACAGAATGTTTCTCACTCTGACTTTCTAAGCTGTACTTGAGTTGGCGTGCAATATGGTGAGTCAAGCACTGGTGGTATCACCACTTGTTTCAATCATGAAATCGAGGGACTTAAATCAAAGTTATGGCAACAAATAGGTCAAGGGTATTTATCATAGTAGAATGGAGATACAATACACTGGATAATCAAAGATAAGTTCTGTAGAGTTACAAGTGATATCAAACTTAGTTAACAATGAGTTATAGAGATAAAAAAACAAATTATCTTAATCATGCTTATGTCTGTCACATATTTAATTCTTCTTCTCTCTCCCTCTGTACATAATGTCACAACTTGCCAATGACATTTTATATGTTCAGTGGAAGTGAAATTGTAGTTTGATGGTCAAAATGCCAGCCATTTCACATATCATCATTGTGTTAGAATATTGCTCATAAGAATACCAAACTAACAAACCTTCCAGTACAGTTTGATCTATAGGTAGGTCCTCGGGAAACCTGGCAGAATACCTAGACAGCTCAAAGATTGGTGAATTGTCGTTGTCATCAAGGACTTCTATGAACAACTGCAAGAGGAATACACACATCTCAATTATTACAAAAACAAATATCAACATTGATCAACAATATTTTTAATGTGAAGTTGACACGATAAACAGCTTTTCCATTGGATGAGATGTCGGACACATGACCGCAAAATTGACGTTCATAGGTGTATGAAATTTGACGTTCATACATTTTTCATCAGACTGTATTCTTGAAATGACGTAAACACTGACAGACTACTTATACTTTCCTTTGGGAACCTCTGGGAATTCCCTAGCATGAATACATACAGGAGCATTGTTTCTGATCATTTAGACCTTTAATCTTGAACACAATGTTTTAGCATACATTGAGAAACGTCAGAGAGTTTGTCAACATGATCGATCCCTGCTATGACCCATCTTAGTGAACAAAACAAAGAAATGTACATCTAAACCATCCAAGTATTGACTCGACAGGTTCATTAACAACTGTACTAGCTGTATATGTGTTACATCTGTGCATCGTCCCAGCTCTGACAGTTTGGCCCTCACTCTTGGAATGAACTCTACTACTCACTCAATGAACTCTCACAAAGTGCAAGTCAATTCTTAAGTAACATGACAAATAAAGCCATGATCAGGGTTTTACTCTGACCTACAAAACTAGGGGTGCAGAGGACACCCAATTACAAATTTCAAGGGTCCTTACAGGACATATGAGGGTCCTGTAAATTAATGAAATGGTGCCGTTTCCTGTACTACAGATCTAATAATTACTTTAATTACAGGAAGTTTATGTTTCTTGTCAAGAATATGGTACAATGAATATTATTGTGCATAAAAAAATCATTTTCTGCTTCAACTCTATCCATTTCTGCGTACTGGACACACATTTCTGCGTCGCGTAAAAACCCTGCATGATGCTCTGCAGCTCACCTTAATTGTCTCGACTATTTTCAACATTATACTACTACAAGCGCTACAGTTAAACAATAAATCAATTTATATAGATAGTATAGTAATGTGGTTCTTATAATATTAAATGTCATAATGAATAGATCCTATTATCATAAATTATGGTCCTAAACACTGCTAACTAACACTGATTGCTATCCCACCTTAACAGTGCTCTGCAGGCTTGTGACAGACTCTGTTGCAAACACGTTCAACTCATAGATTGGCGGCCGCTGTTCTCGGGGCACATCAAATTCCAGTACTTGCAATGTCTTGACAACACCACTGCTATCAATGGAGAACTGGGCAGAGGTGGCGTTTGTGGCGTCACGCAGCTCATACGAGATAGCGTTACCTTGAAAGGCCTTTGCTTCCACCTTAAACTCTCCATTTAACCTGCCAACACAAATATAACCTAGAATGGGTTATCAAGTTCAAATTTCAAAAAAAATGTGACAATTTCCAACGGCAGTTTCAATGATAGTTAAGCAAAGTATAACAAATATATATGCCCCATTATCAGTTGGTACAATGTTGTAAACCCCCTTCTACAAAGACAGTTCTTCAATGCTCTCATTAGATCAAACATCCCATTATAGATATTATTTCCAAGTTTAAGAATGAATTCTTTCCTAACTACACAGTGAAAGTAACAAAACACTACACTGTCAGCAACAGATATGCTCCCATGTGTTCTTTTACAGGTAGAAAAGCAGAGTGTCAGTTGTCATTGTTGCTACTTCAACCACTAATTCAAACCCTTTGTGGTTAGTATAGAGAGGGCTGTAGGGTTAGTACAGCCAAACCAATCCGGATATCATGGCACATGACTAGTCAGATCTCAATGCGAGTTCATCTACCTCAATGGTCTCATTGCAAGTGAAATCAAGCAGTCATTTTGGCCTCCTTCCCTCATTATTGGCATCAGCTTGACCATGAACAGGCAGCAGGTATCAAGGACTACCCTGCCCTGGACACACAGGCAGGAGGTACCAAGGACTGTACTGCCCTGGACACACAGGCAGGAGGTACCAAGGACTATACTGCCCTGGACACACAGGCAGGAGGTACCAAGGACTATACTGCCCTGGACACACAGGCAGGAGGTACCAAGGACTATACTGCCCTGGACACACCGGCAGCAGGTACCAAGGACTATACTGCCCTGGACACACAGGCAGGAGGTACCAAGGACTATACTGCCCTGGACACACAGGCAGCAGGTACCAAGGACTATACTGCCCTGGACACACAGGCAGGAGGTACCAAGGACTATACTGCCCTGGACACACAGGCAGGAGGTACCAAGGACTATACAGCCCTGGATACACAGGCAGGAGGTACCAAGGACTATAGGCAGACTTTTCATGATGAAATATGTTCTGAAGCTGGGGTAAACTCACGTTTGATCTATTCCATTGTTTTCTCGGACAGTTCCTCTGAATGGGTTTTCGTAGAACTGTGGCGGTCTGAGTCCAACCTTCACAAAAACATTAGCCATGGTAGATTGTGGGGGTGTGGCATTGTCGTCACTTGCGAACACAACCAAGTTGAATTCTCGGCCATCTTCAAATCGTCCTTGACCTTTGGTATAGATGTTTCCGACCTTGATGAATGTACCATCCAAGGGGACAGTCTCAGTGCTGATGTAGAACCTGCCATTTCCACCTGTGGCAAAGTGTCAGTAAGTGTTAGTTAGTTCACTACCTTCATAGACCACTTCATGCTACAACCTCGTGAGTAACCATGGTTACATACTAAGTCACATATAAGGCCACAATAACTTAATTCTTACATTTTCATACAAAATTATCAAATATGTGAGGTGGGAGGCACTGATTGAAGCACCTGTAAATGGATTGAATGCACATCAATGTTTGGTGGGTCTCCATGTATGGTGTATTTCTGACAGAAATCAAAAGTTTGGGACTCACTGCCATTTCTTTCGTCTGTAGTAACTTGGGGACATCATAATGATATGAGGGGGTTGTTATGTACTATGGATGGAGGCGATGAAAATTAATTATGCGCAAAAACATTAACACAAGAAAGTTTTGTATAGTTTTCTAAAATGTTGTAGGGCTATTTCTTGCCCCAGGTGAACGTATTGCTTGATGCTTTATATTGACTATATATTATATTGTATTGTAGGTGTAACAATTCACTGACAAATGGAAATATCATTTTCAGAAGGGTGTAGATTGAGCATGGACACCCCTCATCTATCCCTGACTATGGGTTAAAAGGCAAGCTATCGCTACCACCACAAAACCCCAGCAGACAAATGCGAAAGGGAGACAACTCATTTCCATACATAACCAGTTTCTACGTATACACATATTTCAGACTGAGGTTGTTGAAGTAAGTACTAGAACATTATGAGCTGTAGCTCTGTCTTGTTTGTTTGTAAATCCATTCTCTAAGTTGGTTGGTTGGTTGGTTGGTTGGTTGGTTTGTTGTTTAACACTGCACTCAGCAATATTCCAGCTATATGACGGCGGTCTGTAAATAATCAAGTCTGGACCAGACAATCCAGTGATTAATATCATGAGCATCGATCCAAGCAATTGGGATTTATGACATGCATCAACCACGTCAGCAAGTCTGACCACCTGATCCCGTGAGTCGCCTCTTACGACAAGCATAGTCGCCTTTTACAGCAAGCATGGGATGCTGAAGACTTATTCTACTCCGGATCTACATGGGCCTAAGCATCACTCAATGCCAACGAGAACCTACCGGAGTCAATCCTGTAGGAGATGTTGGAGTTTGTGTCCGGGTCCTCAGCAACAACCCGGAACACCTCTTCATTGGGGGGAGTGTTGGGCCCCACAGTAGTCAGGAATGGATAGGGTTTATTCTTGAACTCTGGGTTGGCATCGTTCACATCTGTTACTGTCAGTGTTAATGTGATCTGTGTCACATCTGGAAGATAAAGAAAAGATGACATTAGAATCATCCTGTCAAAAGAATATTTACCCACACTGACAGTCACGTTAAACTGACAGTCAATAACAAATGTTAATTGTAATTTTGTATATCAAAAATAAAATATCAAATATTTTACCACAGAAAGAATAGAAAGTATTCAGGGATTTGTCTGTTATATGTATTCCAAGCTAAGTGCCCTTGGCAGGTAAATTGGATTTAAAAAAAAATATTTTCTTAGTTTCAGAGGTAGTTAAAATTGTAGTGTAACATTACATTCGATGCAACAGGGTTGAATTAAGCATCAAAGCCCCTTCCTTCTTTATTGGTTCTGCTTGTCAGTGAAATACAGGTGTCCCAAACCAAACTGTCACATTGGCATAAATTGAGACACTTGCTGAAGTTGCCTGAAATAACCTTGACTGGTATGCTTGCAAAAACACTGTGAACTACTGTGTCTAATGGGGAGTTAATAATACAGCTGGTAACAATGGCTGACTTGCCATGTTTCTGGAGTACTAAAATCACTGACTCAGGACAAGCTCAGTATGTGTTAAATCCTCAAACAAAATATGCATAATCCATCCATTGACATGACATATTTTTATGACAACTTGATGGCAAACTCATTGTATGATAATCATCTGATGTATTCAATGACAAAGATGTACGATGGACACTTAATACGGCCCATGGATATACACATGGGAAGATTAGTCTTCAGCAAGAAGAAACCCGAAAATAATTCAGATTCCACAAAAGGCCTGACAAGACTGACTCTTGCTCTCCCTTAGTGGAAACTGGTCAAGGCATGCACCGCAATGATAACAGTATCTTTGAACCACAAATGGCCAACAAAAGAGAGTATTACCAAAGGCCATTAATAGATTAACTTGTACTAGGCATTGGATCTCCACATGGTGCTTCCATTGTGTGAGAATGGCACGAGTATGATAATTGGGTTGGGTGCCTTAAACTAAAACAAAAGTATGGATTTTCACAACACTTCCACAATAGCAGCAAGTTGGGCAGAAAATTAAGTCCAAATCCCTGATTGTAATGGCTGCTTTGCATAGTGAGCTCATCAGTCATAGGCTAATATTTGGTCAGCAGGGGTCAAGGGTTTGCCATCTGCATCTTTATGTCAGTGTCAAGGCCAGCTCGTCACTTCACCCCATGGGCTGGCAGTGACATAAACCTCAGCTGGTTGACAATCGCATAAACTTGAAGAAGAAAATGAGTGGGATCTATAGTCGATAGGATGGTCCACTGCAGAAGTTTGTCAAGTACCCAGCAATGTAACCATGGTTACTGAGGCTACCATATGACCAAAACACTGTGCTTTTAAGAGGGGAGGAGATGTAATAGATCCATTATTCCATGCACTTGAACATTAAATAGTTTATGCATAGTTTAAATTGCGTTACCATGACAACCCATGGCCATGTTGTCCCAAAGATTGCCATCGAAGGACCAAAAGATTCTGATGCACATGAAAAAGTGAGGTTTTAGCTGTTATTGTATTTTGTAATCGATAGCCACTTCTGCAGCAAACAATAAATTCATCAAAATTTTGATGGAACAGAACTGCTACAAAACAGAACTGTTGAAGCAAAATTAAACTGCAACACTTGACAAGGGTGAGATAGGAACTACACCACATCCATTAACTATCTCTGTGGTATTGTGCTGTCAACACTGTTGTACATAGTTTCCTCAATCTGCACTAGGTAAAGCACAGTTGTTTTTTCTGGATTCACAGCATTGTTGTACAAATGCTGCATTCAAACAAAGTAATGTGGGGGATGTTAGTTGTTATCCTGGTAATGTGCAACAATGTTGTGTGATACTAATGTTCAATTATGAACAATGTAGTCAGTCCATCATATCACACACAGCCTAATACTCTGTGTGTGTGTGTGTGTGTGTGTGTGTGTCTGTTGTAGAGAACTGACACCTGACTGACCCAATCGTGTTGACACTGCCTGACAGCAGTAGAGACCTTTCCCACGCTGATATTGTTCACAAAACATTATTATTTTGTATAAGCTATAAATTGTTAGGACTCTTACAGTGACAATGAGTCAGGTTTTACATAAATCACCATTACATGGGAACATTTCTGCTTTTGAACTTTCGACTACTACTTAGGAAACATTGTTGATATGTAATTTTTCATAAGGAAGTAACATCACTTAACAACTTCAAAAAAGTCACTTTAATATGCAGTGCTTAAAATTACCATGGTCTCCAAACCATTGACTCACGAAAAACAAATTATCATCCATTTCTGAGATCTCCATTTCTTCTTTCTCAAACCTGGCCAATCATTTTCACAGACTGATAAGGAATCACATCAGTCAGAAGATGGATCACAAACTAAATCTATTGCATTCATAAGCTAAGGACAATAATTCAATATTACACTATCATTTTGATGAAACGAACATTACTTATAAAAAGTTTACCATAGCTGAATTCAGTGATACAGCTTGTTCCTTGTCCTACTTAATTGAAATGGGACTATTTGATATTTGCACACTCTATTGCAAATGCCTAAAACATTTCAAGAATACACACAACGGACTGGCTTTCTTCATTGTTTTTATTCAGCCTGCACGCGAACACTCATACAAAAAATTAAACAATTCAATTCAACATGTTCATACAAAACCCTTGAACAATTATGAAGGACTGGAATGTTCCCCAAAAAAATGAATGAGCAAGTGGCTAAGGTTCCAGCGAGCTGGCTGCTCACAGAGAACAATGCAGCCTGTATTTGAGCTCCCCACATCCCACTGTGAACCATACTGCAGGTTTCAAGGCCACGGTGACCCAGGGTCAGAAGCGCATCGCTTGTCACAGGTTCTCGTATTCCTACAGGCAGGGCCACCACAGATCGATCACCACTGCGATCACCCAACAGCATATTGGACAAGCTGATAATGCTGTGCAAGCTGTTGACCAGAATCACATGTAAGAAGATGGAAGGTTGACAGGCAGTGAGTGATGTGGCCTTGATGAAATCATTCCCTGAGGATGTCCTGTCTTAGCTTGTCACAGAAGGACCACACCATCTCCACATTGCAATGCATTCAGAGGCCTGGCACGTCACAGATGACAGGCACTGAGCAGTGGTGATTTCTCCTTAGTTCAATTATCAAATGCCCACAGCCAAGCTGAAGTGATCATTATCACTGAGCATGGTGCTAACTCAATTTGGTCTACATTTACATCTTAAATCACGGCACATTGGCCAAATAATCAGGGTCAATGCATTGCTGATAGACCAGCAATCTTTGGAGGAGTTCACTTTGAGTGTGACTGCTATAAGAAACAGATTGAACATGAACAATTCAGGCCATGTTAGGAGGCAGATCCAGGATTGTTTATGGGCGAGGGTCACCTGGTGAATTTGTAACTTCAGAACCAAATAAACATCTCCCTGGATAGAGAATAAAAGTAAATTATTTCACCAAGACTAGACAGTGGCCTCATAAGAGCAAGCAGTTGTCTCATTGAACATGTTGAACAACTAAACCAGCTGGGTGTAAGATTAAATCAAGGTAGGGTTGGAAATTAAAAGAAACAATTTATAGCTTATTATCCTGAAACATGGGAATAAACAGTACAAAAAGCATTTGTGTCTATTTAAAGCGATTTACCCTTATTTCTTATTCAAGAGAAAAAATCACCAAATTTATGCCTCAAAACTGATTACTGATTTAATTTTAAAAAATACGCCCCAGTGTTTCGCTTATCAGATGAAGCATGTAAATCATTTTCTTCATAGCAGAACAAACTGGAGCCAGTAGTTCCTACGCACAATGGAATACTGACTTTGATTGGGGTGGTATCTGGTGCTCATATATAACATTGTCTGCCTTATCAAAGTCCCGCTTCTGAAACACTTCTGTTGTCAATTTCCCAAATAAAAATATGTTTTACTTCAATAGAAACTATTTACAAAACTTCATAAGCATAAACATAATCCATCTGATATGTTAGTCTCCATGAAAGTAGCTGGTCATAATGCAAAGATATACAACACTTATTAGACATAGCACTTTTCAACTGTTAAAGGATATGATCTAAAAAACACACACGTTTGGACATGAAAAACAACACAACCATCAATATTTGATTGATTTCACATCTGTAAAGTGCTGGCATCATAAACTCACGATTTATTCCCTCAGACTACAGTTCGGTTATCATTTGCTGTTGGGATGTTTCAAGTGATAGGTATGTCAATCTGACCATCATCATTAACAAACATGATATCCTGAAAGTTTCATTCAATTCCAAGGCTACTCTAACCACATATCTGCCTGACAAGCTGTTATGTGGGCAAATAATGATTTTGTCTGGACCAGTGTCACACACACAGGAGCTTCAGGAAGATGGAGGCAGGAGGAGCCATCGGGGCGATTTCCCATTCTCTTCAGCTCACGCTGGAGCAATTACAGACTTATGTAACATCGAAGCTGCTGGATCGATACCATCACCTCCACTGATGTTTTCCAGGTCGATACTGCCACCTCAACTGATGCTGGTCTGCTGAGTGTGTGATTACACTAGTACTGGGTAACACTCCAGGATTAACACCTATCATCAACTGAAGCGGACATGTGGAGCGTTGTAGTACTTCACTCTGATTCCCATCTTCAATCCTGCTAATTCTAGCACAGCTTGGAGATAACTTACAATGAACACCCTCTAGTCACTGAAGAATGGTGTATTGGGGCTGAGCACAGCGCACATATTTAACAGTATTTAGAAGACGGATATTTAGCTGACATTAACAATGATGCACTGCCTGCATAAACAATGATCAAGCTACTTCTGCATTCTACAAACATGACAAACAAAGTGTGTGACGTGCCAAACAATGTGTGAGATCCGATCGCAGAATGAACTCCACTGAAGCATGAATGTATTTTTGTTTCATCCTGCTGTGTCAAATGGATTCACAACAGGTTTGGAAATATGTAAGG